GGACATTAATCACTCTGCGTAGTCTGAGGCTGCTTAGCTACCCCAGTGTAATGTTTTGATTACCTCCCTCTGCAGGGCACTGCATGATCTCCTTACGTTACAGCTCAGGAATATGTTTCCTTCCTCTTTTGATGGTGCAAATCCAGCATGGATAACCTTTCCCAAGCATGGCCACCCTGTAATACCCTGTGAACAGGAGTGATAGAAGTAGCATCAGCAGAGACAGTAGCATCAGCCGAGACAGTAGCAGCAGCAGTGACAGTAGCATCAGCAGTGACAGTAGCATCAGCAGTGACAGTAGCATCAGCTGAGACAGTAGCATCAGCAGTGACAGTGACAGTAGCATCAGCAGCAGCAATGAGCATGCAGTTATTCTGAAAGACTGGTGAATGACAGGAGAGCAAGTGGGAGGGAGTTGTGGGGGATTTCCACTTTTTTGCTGCTGGTGTTGGAGAGACAAAGAGCTATACTGATGATTAACACAGAGAGAGAGGAGGGAGAGACAATTGCGTCTTATGCAACCCGGAGAGGGAAATAATTGCTGGTTGTTGCAGCAGGATTAAAGACTTGTGTCTTCCTGTGTTGGGGAGAGATGGAATGGTGTTGGGGAGAGATGAAGTGGTGTTGGGGAGAGAGATGGAGTGGTGTTGGGGAGAGAGATGGAGTGGTGTTGGGGAGAGAGATGGAGTGGTGGCGGGGAGAGAGATGGAGTGGTGGCGGGGAGAGAGATGGAATGGTGTTGGGGAGAGATGGAGTGGTGGCGGGGAGAGAGATGGAGTGGTGTTTGGAGAGAGATCGAGTGGTGTTGGGAGAGAGATGGAGTGGTGTTGGGGAGAGATGGAGTGGTGTTGGGGAGAGAGATGGAGTGGTGTTGGGGAGAGAGATGGAGTGGTGGCGGGGAGAGAGATGCAATGGTGTTGGGGAGAGATGGAGTGGTGTTGGGGAGAGAGATGGAGTGATGGCGGGGAGAGAGATGGAGTGGTGTTGGGAGAGAGATGGAGTGGTGTTGGGGGGAGAGATGGAGTGGTGTTGGGGAGAGATGGAGTGGTGTTGGGGAGAGAGATGGAGTGGTGTTGGTGAGAGAGAAAGAGTATTTTTGGGGAGAGAGATAGAGTGGGGTCAAGGAGAAGGAGGACTTTGCCTTATGATGGTGAATAATGTTTTATCTGCCTTTTGTGAGACTATCCAGCAACTGAAGAATGCACGAGAGGAAGTGTTTTCTGATTTGGCAATTTGATGACAACAGAATTGCACTTTGGTGACCGATGAAGTGCTCCCACCGGGTCAAACCCCAGGCATGCTGTTATTTTTTTAATGATTTCATAAGTTGTCGGTTGCTGGTTGCAGGAGATGTATACATGCCTGTTGAACAAAGACTTTTTCTTCTCATCCACCTGAGCTGGAGTCTCAGCACCTGTAAGGAATATGACGACAAAGATATGGTTGGTGTAAAGCATGATCGTTTGTCCTTCAAGTAATGATAATGTGATGCCATTGTCCACTCATTTGAAGAAAATATCTTGATGGTTCTCTTCTGTACAATGCTCCATATGCAGGTCACCTTCAGGAATTTGGCACTGACTTTCCTTTTCACCAGCGCATTCGGCTCCACTTTGCGTGGGGGGCAGCCAGGTACCTTCCATATGGACCGCCCCCCGCCGCTGACGTGGACGCCATTGCTGAAGGAGAGCAGTGCTATCGGGAGTTCTGTCAGAGATGCACGTGGGACCACCGAGCAACAACCGGCCGCATGTTGGCATGTTTTGCGGTGCACCTGGCCCCGTCGACTCCTCTGTCGGCTATCAAACAATACATCACCGATGTCGCTCTAGCCGACGAGGAGCGCGGGCAGCCAGATCCCAGAACCTCTGCCACGCTTTTGTCCAAAGTCCTTCAGGAGGTAGGGGGAGCCGGGAAGCCGCCGCAGCTTCCTCTGACAACCACACTGGTCAAATTGATCATCGACCAGCTGTTGGTCAAGGAGGGAGTTGTGGCCGACGACAAGATCATGCTCCAGGCGGCAATCTTGTTAGGCTTCTACGGTTTCCAGTCACTCGACTCCATCTGCGAGTGCTACCCAGGAGGACAGGGCATCAGCGCTACTGCGGAAGATGTTACCCTCGTCAATCATCCAAACGGCGAGTGTGTCATACGCTTTCAAGAAAAGAGTTGGCCGCTCGTCCGTATTGTCTATGTCAGCAGAGCCGAGGGGCAATATTGCCCAGTGTTTGCCATGCGCACTTACTTGTCAAGGCGTAAGGCAGACACTGGGTCGCCTGGGCCTCTCTTTCGCTATCTCTCTGGTTCACCTCTAACTGTCCACCACTTGACCAGAGAGGTACGCGAACTGTTGACGGCGGGAAACATCAATCCCGCAATAGACTTCGGAGGGTACTCGTTCCGGATCGGTGCGACCACGTCCGCCATCGTCTCTGGCGCACCTGATTGGCTCATCGATGGTCTCGGTCACTGGGAAGGTCGAAGTGTAAGGAAGTACCGAGACACCGAGCTGGAGGATCTGCCCGACATGTCATCTTTCCTCTACAGGTCAGTCCTGTAGTCGGGTAGGTTCTCTAGTAACCAATCAGGGGAATTCCCGGATTCCTGAGGTGACAGGATGTGCTGCAGCATCACCATCACCATCATCAACATTTAAAAAAAAAAAAAAAAAAAAATCATCATCATCATCAACATCATCATCAACATCATCAACATGTTGATGATGTTGATGATGTTGATGATGATGTTGATGATGATGATGATGTTGATGATGTTGATGATGTTGATGATGTTGATGATGTTTTTTTTTTTTTTTTTTTTTTTTTTTGGAACCCTACACAAATAATAGTTTAAATGAATCCAACGCAAAGATCGTTTTTCCATGAAATACAACAATTGAACACAATTACATGCTTAAAGGCATGAAAGCAACAAAACAGCAACAAAAGGGTAAGCGCCATACCAATCCCGCATGCACAGTCAGGACACAGCACGATACTTAACAAACTAGACCTGACTCGGCCACGGCAATCGAGACATCATGAAAACATCTCGCCGGATGGTGGTACCGTGACCGAGCCCCACGTATGCACAACACAGCAGCACGCAGCAAAGCAAAAGACAGCCGACAGCGGAGTAAACCAATGACCTGGGAATAGTGAGATCCCGATGACTCGGCCTGCATCTGGCACAGTCTCTTGAGGAACACATTGCACAGCCTCCCACAACCACCATGCACAGAGAACACGAGAGGTGTGAAAGCGGCTCTTTCTACATTTGTGACTCTTGGCCCATATTCGTTCCACTTACGCCGCTCGTGCTGCTGGTACAATGCAGGAAGGGTTCTGGACCCGTAGGAAGGAGCATCTGGGCAAAATACCCTTACATCAAAAAAAGCTTCCTCCCCACGGGTCCAAAACCCTCGAGCGGCTATGTCCAGGCGCGCATCCTCTCGGCGGTTCGTTGACCGAAGAGGAAACCTCGGTGAGAGGTTTCCTCTTCGGTCAACGAACCGCCGAGAGGATGCGCGCCTGGACATAGCCGCTCGAGGGTTTTGGACCCGTGGGGAGGAAGCTTTTTTTGATGTAAGGGTATTTTGCCCAGATGCTCCTTCCTACGGGTCCAGAACCCTTCCTGCATTGTACCAGCAGCACGAGCGGCGTAAGTGGAACGAATATGGGCCAAGAGTCACAAATGTAGAAAGAGCCGCTTTCACACCTCTCGTGTTCTCTGTGCATGGTGGTTGTGGGAGGCTGTGCAATGTGTTCCTCAAGAGACTGTGCCAGATGCAGGCCGAGTCATCGGGATCTCACTATTCCCAGGTCATTGGTTTACTCCGCTGTCGGCTGTCTTTTGCTTTGCTGCGTGCTGCTGTGTTGTGCATACGTGGGGCTCGGTCACGGTACCACCATCCGGCGAGATGTTTTCATGATGTCTCGATTGCCGTGGCCGAGTCAGGTCTAGTTTGTTAAGTATCGTGCTGTGTCCTGACTGTGCATGCGGGATTGGTATGGCGCTTACCCTTTTGTTGCTGTTTTGTTGCTTTCATGCCTTTAAGCATGTAATTGTGTTCAATTGTTGTATTTCATGGAAAAACGATCTTTGCGTTGGATTCATTTAAACTATTATTTGTGTAGGGTTCCAAAAAAAAAAAAAAAAAAAAAAAAAAACATCATCAACATCATCAACATCATCAACATCATCAACATCATCATCATCATCAACATCATCATCAACATCATCAACATCATCAACATCATCAACATCATCAACATCATCAACATCATCATCATCATCAACATCATCAACATCATCAACATCATCAACATTGTCATCATCCCCGCCGTCATCCCCATCGTCATCATCAGTATAATCAACATAATAAACAACAACAATGTATAGGAGGCCTTGGTCTAGTCTTTACTAAATCAAATTACTAGTGTAATTATGCATTTGCCAGCTAGGCAGCAACATCAGCAGCATCAACAGCACCAGCAGCAGCAGCAGAACCCGGCTGAAGCAATAACAGTAACGGCTTGCTGAAGTGAAAACAGTAACAGATGTCTGTAGCAGAGAAACTTCCAGCCAGCTCAAGCCAGCTGAAGTAGCAGTGGCCTGCAGTAGCAACAATAGCAGCAGCCTGCAGTAGCAACAATAGCAGCAGCCTGCAGTAGCAACAGTAGCAGTGGCCTGCAGTAGCAACAATAGCAGCAGCCTGCAGTAGCAACAATAGCAGCAGCCTGCAGTAGCAACAGTAGCAGTGGCCTGCAGTAGCAACAATAGCAGCAGCCTGCAGTAGCAACAATAGCAGCAGCCTGCAGTAGCAACAATAGCAGCAGCCTGCAGTAGCAACAATAGCAGCAGCCTGCAGTAGCAACAATAGCAGCAGCCTGAAGTAGCAGCAGGCTGAAGCAGTCATGATAACAACAGCCGTGGCAGTGACAAAAACAGTTGGCTGTTCCAACTACCATACTAGACGGCTTTAGCCGAGACCTTTACGGCTGTAGGACTCAAGACAAATTCTGGCTGAATCAGTGGCAAAAACAGCCAGTCCAAGCACTTTAGACAAATTCTGGCTGAATCAGTGGCAAAACACAAATTCTGGCTGAATCAGTGGCAAAAACAGCCAGTCCAAGCACTTTTTTGTACAGTCGCCTGTACCAGCAACGATAACCATAGCAACCGGCTGAAGAAGCGACCAGAGCAGTGGATTGAAGCAGATAAGAAAGCAGCAACGATAATTGCCGGCTGTTTTGTTGCAAGTTTGCGGAGTTGAGGGTTCGATGGACATCTCGTGTACTCTTCATGGTAGTTATTAGTTACACAGTGCCAATCCCAATGTATTATTGTCCAATATCTACAATGCGAACATATTTGTCAAGGCGTTTGGCAGACACTGGGTCGCCTGGGCCTCTCTTTCAGTATTTCTCAGGTTCACCTCTAACTGTACGCAGATTGACCAGAGAGATACGCGAACTGTTGACGGCAGGAAATATCAATCCCGCAATAGACTTCGGAGGGAACTCGTTCCGGTGCCGGCTGAAGCAAAGGCGGTAAAAGCCGGCTGAGGGAACAACGATAACAGACGGCTGAATCAGTGACTACAACAGGCGAGTGTAGCAGAGACGATAACAGCCGGCTGATCTAGTGACAATGACAGCCGGCCGAAGCAGCGATGCCAATAGCCGACCGAAGCAGCGATGCCAATAGCCGGCCGAAGCAGGGATGCCAATAGCCGGCCGAAGCAGCGATGCCAATAGCCGGCTAAAGCAGCGATGCCAATAGCCGGCCGAAGCAGCGATGCCAATAGCCGGCTGAAGCAGTAACGATAACAGCCGGCTGAAGCAGCGATGCCAATAGCCGGCCGAAGCAGCGATGCCAATAGCCGGCCGAAGCAGTAACGATAACAGCCGGCTGAAGCAGCGATGCCAATAGCCGGCCGAAGCAGCGATGCCAATAGCCGGCTGAAGCAGTAACGATAACAGCCGGCTGAAGCAGTGACCATAACAGCCGGCTGACACAGTGATGACAAACTGAGCCGGCTGAAGAAGCGACCATACCAGCCGGCTGAAGCAGGGACGGCAATAGCCGGCTGAAGCAGTGATTACAATAGCCGGCTGAAGCAATGACTCCAACAGCCAGCTGTAGCAGAGACGATAACCGCCGGCTGAAGCAGTGATTACAACACCAGCGTGTAGCAGAAACGATAGCAACCGGCTAAAGCAGTGACGACAATAGCCGGTTGAAGGCGTGATGATAACAGCCGGCTGAAGCTGTGAAGATAAACGCCTGAGTCAATGCCTACAACAGCCAGGTGTAGCAGAGACGATAGCAGCCGCTTAAAGCAATGACTACCAGAGCCGGCTGTAGCAGACACGAAAACGCCCGGCTGAAGCAGCGACGATGACAGCCGGCTGTAGTAGTGACGATAACAGCCGGCTGGAGCAGCGAAGACAATCGCCGAATGAACCAGTAAAGATCGCAGCCGGCTGAAACCATGACTATAACAGCCGACTGAAGCAGTGACGATAACAGTCGGATGTCGCAGGGACTATAACAGCCGGCTGACACAGTGATCACAAAAGCCGGCTGAGGAAGCGACGGTAACAGCCGGCTGAAGCATTGACGATGGCAGCCGGCTGAAGCAGAGACAATGACAGCCGGCTGAAGCAATGACTACCACAGGCGGCTGAAGCAATGACTACCACAGCCGGCTGAAGGGGCGATGACAACAGCCGGCTGAAGCTGTGATGGCAACAGCCGACTGCAGCAGTTACGATAACAGTCGGCTGGAGTAACAACAATAACCGGCTGAAGCAATGATGATAACAGCCGGCTGAATCAGAAACGATAACAGCCAGCTGTAGCAGTGGCGATGACAGCCGGCTCAAGCAGCGACAATAACAGCCGGCTGAAGCAGCGACAATAACAGCCGGCTGTAGCAGTGACGATAACAGCCGGCTGTTGCAGTGACGACCATAGCCGGCTGAAGGCCCGATGATAACAGCCGGCAGAAGCTGTGATGATTACAACCACCTGAATCAGTGACTACAACAGCCGGGTGTAGCAGAGACGATTGCAGCCGGCTGAAGCAATGACTACCACAGCCGGCTGAGGCAATGAATACCACAGCCGGCTGAAGGAGCGATGACATCAGCCGGCTGAAGCTGTGATGACAACAGCCGACTGTAGCAGTTACGATAACAGCCGGTGAAGTAACAAAAAAAGTAACGACAATAGCCGGCTGAAGCAGTGATGATCACAGCCGGCTGAATCAGAAACTATAACAGCCGGCTGTAGCAGTGACGATGACAGCCGGCTGAAGCAGCGCCAATAACAGCCGGCTGAAGCAAAGACTACAACAACCGGCTGTTGCAGTAGCAGAGATAATAACAGCCGCCTGTAGCAGTGACGAAAACAGCCGGCTGAAGTAACAACAATAGCCGGCTGAAGAAGTAATGACAGCCGGCTGAATCAGATACCATAACAGCCGGCTGTAGCATTGACGATGGCAGTCGGCTGAAGCAGCGACAATGACAGCCGGCTGAAGCAAAGACTACAACAACCAGCTGTAGCTGTAGCAGAGATAATAACAGCCGGCTGTAGCAGTGACGATAACAGCCGGCTAAAGTAACGACAATAGCCGGCTGAAGTAACGACAATAGCCGGCTGAAGCAGTAATGATAACAGCCGGCTGAAGCAGTAATGATAACAGCCGGCTGAATCAGATACAATATCACCCGGCGGTAGCATTAAAGATGGCAGCCGGCTGAAGCAGCGACAATGACAGCCGACTGAAGCAATGACTACCACAGGCGGCTGAAGCAATGACTACCACAGCCGGCTGAAGGAGCGATGACAACAGCCGGCTAAAGCTGTGATTACAACAGCCGACTGTAGCAGTTCCACTAACAGCCGGCTGAAGTAGCGACAATAGCCGGCTGAAGCAGTGATGATAACAGCCGGCTGAATCAGAAACGAGAACAGCCGGCTGTAGGAGTGACGATGACAGCCGGTTGAAGCAGCGACAATAACAGCCGGCTGTAGCAGTGACGATAACAGCCGGCTGTTGCAGTGACGACCATAGCCGGCTCAAGGACCGATGATAACAGCCGGCTGAAGCTGTGATGATTACAACCACCTGAATCAGTGACTACAACAGCCGGGTGTAGCAGAGACGATAGCAGCCGGCTGAAGCAATGACTACCACAGCCGGCTGAAGCAATGACTACCACAGCCGGCTGAAGGAGCGATGACATCAGCCGGCTGAAGCTGTTATGACAACAGCAAACTGTAGCAGTTACGATAACAGCCGGCTGAAGTAACGCCAAGAGCCGGCTGAAGCAGGATTGATAACAGCCGGCTGAATCAGATACGATAACAGCCGGCTGTAGCATTGACGATGGCAGCCGGCTGAAGCAGCGACAATGACAGCCGGCTGAAGCAATGACTACCACATGCGGCTGAAGCAATGACTGCCACAGCCGGCTGAGGGAGCGATGACAACAGCCGGCTGAAGCTGTGATGACAACAGCCGACTGTAGGAGAGACAATAACAGCCGGCTGGAGAAGTGAGGATGACAGCCGGCTGTTGCAGTGACGACAATAGCCGGCTGAAGGAGCGATGACAACAGCCGGAGACGTTGTGATGATAACAGCCGACTGTAGCAGTGACTATCACAGCCGGCTGAAGTTACGACAATAGCCGGCTGAAGCAGCAATGATAGCAGCCGGCTGAATCAGAAACGAGAACAGCCGGCTGTAGCAATGACGATTGCAGCCGGTTGAAGCAATGACTACCACAGGCGGTTGAAGCAACGACTACCACAGCCGGCTGAAGGAGCGATGAGATTAGCCGGCTGAATCAGAAACGAGAACAGCCGGTTAAAGCAGCGACAATAACAGTTGGTGGAAGCAAAGACTACAACAACCGGCTGTAGCTGTAGCAGAGATAATAACAGCCGCCTGTAGCAGTGACGAAAACAGCCGGCTGAAGTAACAACAATAGCCGGCTGAAGAAGTAATGATAACAGCCGGCTGAATCAGATACAATAACAGCCGGCGGTAGCATTGACGATGTCAGCCGGCTGATGCAGCGACAATGACAGCCGACTGAAGCAATGACTACCACTGGCGGCTGAAGCAATGACTACCACAGCCGGCTGAAGGAGCGATGACATCAGCCGGCTGAAGCTGTGATTGCAACAGCCGACTGTAGCAGTTCCATTAACAGCCGGCTGAAGTAGCGACAATAGCCGGCTGAAGCAGTGATGATAACAGCCGGCTTAATCAGAAACGAGAACAGCCGGCTGTAGCAGTGACGATGACAGCCGGCTGTAGCAGTGACTATAACAGCCGGCTGTTGCAGGGACGACCATAGCCGGCTCAAGGACCGATGATAACAGCCGGCTGAAGCTGTGATGATTACAACCACCTGAATCAGTGACTACAACAGCCGGGTTTAGCAGAGACGATTGCAGCCGGCTGAAGCAATGACTACCACAGCCGGCTGAAGCAATGACTACCACAGCCGGCTGAAGGAGCGATGACATCAGCCGGCTGAAGCTGTGATGACAACAGCAAACTGTAGCAGTTACGATAACAGCCAGCTGAAGTAACGACACTAGCCGGCTGAAGAAGCGATGATAACAGCCGGCTGAATCAGAAACGATAACAGCCGGCTGCAGCAGTGACGATGACAGCCAGCTGAAGCAGAGACAATAACAGCCGGCTGAAGGAAAGACTACAACAGCCGGCTGTAGCTGTAGCAGAGATAATAACTGCCGGCTGTAGCAGTGACGATAACAGCCGGCCGAAGTAACGACAAGAGCCGGCTGAAGCAGTAATGATAACAGCCGGCTGAATCAGATACGATAACAGCCGGCTGTAGGATTGACGATGGCAGCCGGCTGAAGCAGCGACAATGACAGCCGGCTGAAGCAATGACTACCACAGGCGGCTGAAGCAATGACTACCACAGCCGGATGAAGGCGCAATGACAACAGCTGGCTGAAGCTGTGATGACAACAGCCGACTGTAGGAGAGATAATAACAGCCGGCTGGAGCAGTGAGGATGACAGCCGGCTGTTGCAGTGACGACAATAGCCGGCTGAAGGAGCGATGACAACAGCCGGCTGAAGCTGTGATGATTACAACCGCCTGAATCAGTGACTACAGCAGCCGGGTGTAGCAGAGACGATAGCAGCCGGCTGAAGCAATGACTACAACAGCCGGCTGAAGCAATGACTACCACAGCCGCCTGAAGGAGCGCTGACATCAGCCGCCTGAAGCAGTGATGATAACAGCCGGCTGAATCAGAAACGATAACAGCCGGCTGTAGCATTGACGATGGCAGCCGGCTGAAGCAGCGACAATGACAGCCGGCTGAACCAATGACTACCACAGGCGGCTGAAGCAATTACTACCACAGCCAGCTGAAGGAGCGATGACAACAGCCGGCTGAAGCTGTGATGACAACAGCCGACTGTCGGAGAGATAATAACAGCCGGCTGGAGAAGTGAGGATGACAGCCGGCTGCTGCAGTGACGACAATAGCCGGCTGAAGGAGCGATGACAACAGCCGGAGAAATTTTGATGATAACAGCAGACTGTAGCAGTTACGATAATAGCCGGCTGAAGTAACGACAATAGACGGCTGAAGTAACGACAATAGCCGGCTGAAGGAATGACAATAGCCGGCTGAAGCAGTAATGATAACAGCCGGCCGAATCAGAGACGATAACAGCCGGCTGTATCATTGCCGATGGCAGCCGGCTGAAGCAATGTATACCACAGCCAGCTTAAGGCATGACTACCACAGCCGGCTGAAGGAGCGATGACAACAGCCGACTGAAGCTGTGATGACAACAGCCGACTGTAGCAGTTACGATAACAGCCGGCTGAAGTAACGACAATAGCCGGCTGAAGCAGTGATGATTACAGCCGGCTGAATCAGAAACGATAACAGCCGGCTGAATCAGACACGATAACAGCCGGCTGTAGCAGTGACGATGACAGCCGGCTGAAGCAGCAACAATAACAGCCGGCTGAAGCAAGGACTAGAACAACCGGCTGTAGCTGTAGCAGAGATAATAATAGCCAGCTGTAGCATTGACGATAACAGCCGGCTGAAGTAACGACAATAGGTGGCTGAAGCAGTAATGATAACAGCCGGCTGAATCAGAAATGATAGCAGCCGGCTGTAGCAGTGACGATGGCAGCCGGCTGAAGCAGCGACAATAACAGCTGACTGAAGCAATGACTACCACAGGCGGCTGAAGCAATAATTACCACAGCCGGCTGAAGGAGCGATGACAACAGCCGGCTGAAGCTGTGATGACAACAGCCGGCTATAGCAGTTACGATAACAGCCGGCTGAAATAACGACAACAGCCAGCTGAAGTAACGACAATAGCCGGCTGAAGTAACGACAATAGCCGGCTGAAGCAGTAATGATAACAGCCGGCTGAATCAGATACGATAACAGCCGGCTGTAGCATTGACGATGGCAGCCGGCTGAAGCAGCGACAATGACAGCCGGCTGAACCAATGACTACCACAGGCGGCTGAAGCAATGACTACCACAGCCGGCTACAGGAACGATGACAACAGCCATCTGAAGCAGTGACGACGACAGCCTGCTGTAGGAGAGATAACATCAGCCGGCTGGAGAAGTGAGGATGACAGCCGGCTGTTGCAGTGACGACAATAGCCGGCTGAAGGAGCGATGGCAACAGCCGGAGAAGTTGTGATGATAACAGCCGACTGTAGCAGTGACGATAACAGCCGACTGAAGTAACGACAATAGCCGGCTGAGGCAGTGATGATAACAACCGGCTTTCGCGGGGTCTATAACAGCCGGCTGATGCAGTGATGGCAAAAGCCGGCTGAAGAAGCGAAGATAACAGCCAGCTGAAGCAGGGATCACAATAGCCAGCTGAAACAATGACTCCAACAGCCAGCTGTAGCAAAAACAATAACAGCCGGCTGTAGCAGAGACTATAACAGCCATCTGAAGCAGTGACGACGAGAGCCGGCTGTAGAAGAGATAACAGCCGGCTGGAGAAGTGAGGATGACAGCCGGCTGTTGCAGTCAAGAGAATAGCCGGCTGAATGAGCGATGACAACAGCCGGAGAAGTTGTGTAGCAGTGACGATAACAGCCGGCTGAAGTATCGACAATAGCCGGCTGCAGCTGTAATGATAACAGCCGGCTGAATCATATACGATAACAGCCGGCTGAAGCATTGACGATGACAGCCGGCTGAAGCAGCGACAATGACAGCCGGCTGAAGCAATGACTACCACAGCCGGCTGAAGGAGCGATGACAACAGCCGGCTGAAGCTGTGATGACAACAGCCGACTGTAGAAGTTACGATAACAGCCGGCTGAAGTAACGAAAATCGCCGGCTGAAGCAGTAATGATAACAGCCGGCTGAATCAGAAACAATAACAGCTGGCTGTAGCAGTGACGATGACAGCCGGCTGAAGCAACGATAATAAGAGCCGGCTGAAACAAAGGCTGCAACAACCGGCTGTAGCTATAGCAGAGATAATCACAGCCGGTTGTAGCAGTGACGATAACAGCCGGCTGTTGCAGTGACGACCATAGCCGGCTGAAGGACCAATGATAACAGCCGGCTGAAGCTGTGATGATTACAACCGCCTGAATCAGTGACTACAACAGCCAGGTGTAGCAGAGACGATAGCAGTCGGCTGAAGCAATGACTACCTCAGCCGGCTGAAGCAATGACTACCACAGCCGGCTGAAAGACCGATGACATCAGCCGGCTGAAGCTGTGATGACAACAGCCGACTGTAGCAGTTACGATAACAGCCGGCTGAAGTATTAACAATAGCCGGCTGAAGCAGTGATGATAACAGCCGGCTGAATCAGAAACGATAACAGCCGGCTGCAGTAGTGACGATGACAGCCGGCTGAAACAGCGCCTGTAACAGCCGGCTGAAGCAAAGACTACAACAACCGGCTGAAGCTGTACCAGAGATAAAAACTGCCGGCTGTAGCAGTGACGATAACAGCCGGCTAAACCAGTGACAACTATAGCCGGCTGAAGGACCGATGACAACAGCCGGCTGAAGCTGTGATGATAACAACCGCCTGAATCAGTGACTACAACAGCCGGGTGTAGCAGAAACAATAGCAGCCGGCTGAAGCAATGACTACCACAGCCGGCTGTAGCAGACACGATAACGGCCGGCTGAAGCAGCGACGATGACAGCCGGCTGAAGCAGCGACGATAAGAGCCGGCTGGAGCAGCGAATACAATCGCCGACTGAAGCAGTAAAGATCGCAGCCGGCTGAAACGATGACTTTACCAACCGCATGAATCGGTGACTACAACAGCCGGTTTGATGGAAATAGCGCTGACAAAAACCAACATTACTTATTTGAGCAGCGATGCCACGAAGGCCGGAAGCTGCTCTGTCCACAACCAACATAATGGCATGATCAATGGGAAACCATCAACCAACGCAATGGATGGAAGCAGGGCTTTCAACAGCCAACACAATGGATGGGAGCAGGGCTTTCGACAACCAACACAATGGATGGGAGCAGCGCTTTCGACAACCAACACAATGGATGGGAGCAACTCTTTCGACAACTAACACAATGGCATGATGGGAGCGGGTTTCTGGAAACCAAAAGGCAACACAACGACCAAGTGGCACCAACGCTAGCCATGGTGTCACCGTCATGGCTTGGGTTTGTCACAGCAGCCATGTCTGTAGATGAGTTGTACACCAGTACTGCTCCAGGATACTGGTCCAGGGTGACAGTGAGTGTGGATATTAGGAATACCATTCACGCAGGTACTACCCTCCAGCATGTGTGTATGACAAAAAAAGACAAAGAATATATCCCGGTGCAGCATGGCAGTTGCAGTCAATACCTTGAGGGAATAATGGCAGTAGTTGTGTAACCACTGTGGACCACCAATGCACCTTCCTGTGTTGGGTATCAACCAATGCCCCTTCCTGTGTTGGGTATCAACCAATGCCCCTTCCTGTGTTGGGTATCAACCAATGCCCCTTCCTGTGTTGGGTATCAACCAATGCCCCTTCCTGTGTTGGGTATCAACCAATGCCCCTTCCTGTGTTGGGTATCAACCAATGCCCCTTCCTGTGTTGGGTATCAACCAATGCCCCTTCCTGTGTTGGGTATCAACCAATGCCCCTTCCTGTGTTGGGTATCAACCAATGCCCCTTCCTGTGTTGGGTATCAACCAATGCCCCTTCCTGTGTTGGGTATCAACAACTACCACCCTGCCGCTGCAAAAACAACTACTGCCCTGCCGCCGCAGAAACAATTGCCGGGGGTGTTGGCAACGACACCACCGATTACAACTGCCCTGATTTATGGTGAAGGGGAAAGGTGGCAGGGGACTTGCAGTGTCTGTGTCACTATGCCAAAGATCACTCAATAACCCTGGCTGTTGCAGATTGGGATGCAGCTGCCTACGTACCTGCCCATATTGCTGTTGCAACTCACCTTTCCCACGCATATCGCTTGATAATGCATGCATGCTTTGCGCCGAGACGTCTTGATGCAAATAAAACCCTTTGCTGTACACTCCTCCTGCAATGAGCTACATATACTGCTGTGGATCTACGCATGACTGGTGTGTATTATGTGTGTGGGTCACTGGGTGTGTGCACACCATGTGGTGATCTTGTCACGAGAGATCATTGTTTCAAGTCCTTCTATGTATAGGGTATCTTTTGTGGGGAGGGGGGGGTCCCGGGGTGGGGGGGTGGGGGGGGGGGGGTCCCGGTCAAATCCAACCGATGCCTCTTTCAGAGATCTCTGCAGTTTAATTAAGGCGGTGAGGTTGTTCCAATGTACGTATGTATTAGGGTCTGTAAACCAAGTTTTGCCACCTCGCGGGATTGTTTTCCAATGATCATTAAGTGCTTGAACACCTGCTCGGATGAATATCTGTTCACTGAATAAACTGTGTGTGTGTTTGTGTGTATGTGTATGTGTGCGTGTGTGTGTGTGTGTGTGTGTGTGTGTGTGTGTGTGTGTGTGTGTGTGTGTGTGTGTGTGTGTACTCTGTGCAGAACCAGTGGATATTACTGGCGGAGACCCATCGGAGAGTGTAGTCTATGCTGCTGGTACAAGCATGCGCAACTTGTCAGTCCGGTACAGCATCAGTTCATCTCCGCCTACACCAGCATCCCCTACTGCCGTTCAGGTACATATCCTTCTCTCCCTGCTCATCTTCCTATTGCACTGCCGTGTGTGTGTAGTCTATATAGTGTCTTGACTAGTTTGAGAGAAAGAAACAAACAGCTATTATAGTGTGTATTCACATTCAGTCCTGTGTGTGTATCACATGCCTTAGAACTTTGTTGCCGTCTGATGAGGGTTTTGTTTTCAGACATGAAACCCTGAATAACAGCAAGGAAGAACTTGATTGCACTGGTGCGGTTTGTGAATTGTCCGTGTCTGTTTGCTTGTGTGTTTGGAGGAATCCACCGCTCCGATAAGCCATGCCCAGTCATCTGCCCCAAACTCACCATCGCAGATGCCGTATAAGGAAGAGGTAGTGACCCAGGCGCTAGGTGCCAGCACAATGCCGTCTACCAGTACCTCACCAGCCACGCCTGACTACGACAATCAGGTATGTGAGAGAGAGAGAGAGAGAGAGAGAGAGAGAGAGAGAGAGAAAGAGAGAGAGAGAGGGATAGCATGGCTAGCCGTGGCAAATGTGGGCGCGCAAGAAGCTTCCCAGGCCAAGAGAATGAAGTGCGATACAGAAACGATGGAAGCTACTGTAAAAGCCTGTAATATGGCCCTGGGCGGAAACGTTAGCGAAGGTCCAGAACATGAACATCTATTTGGGCCTGGGCGTTATTGTGGGCCCGGCCGTTATTTCGGATAAGCGAGATTAGACTGATTTTGCCTTAACTCTGGGCTCGGTGTGATGTAGCTCTCTCAAGCCTTATCCAGAGTGCCAGATTTTAGCAGTATTAGCTGTCACAGGGAGAGAGTGTGCCGGTGACAATTGGGCGAATCCAACCAGGCGGGTGTACTAGCGCTCACGAGTGTGCAAATTGTGTGTTTGTGTTTTCACCTTTGTAAACATTGGAATCCTGTCGCTGTGCTTTTAGTTCTCTCTTTACAATTATGCTCGAGAAGATGACGCAACGACCACCGGATACGCCAGTTCCACTGCACAAAACTCCAACACCGTCATCGCCGCCGCCAACACCACCAAACCCGACCCCACTCCAGCCACTGGCGATAATGTTTCCATGGCAACAGCAAGTGCAACGAATCCTGTTATTCAGTCGGAGGAAGAGGCTCCTGCCGCATCTCTACCGGGACCAGAGTGCACGGAAGTCGTTTTGCCCAAAAAGGTTTGTGATTTGCAGTGTTCTTTGACTCCATGGAGAATAGCTATGTGTAGTTCATCTGGTTGTAGTGGGTTTGATATTCCGCTTCGGTGGGCGGGTTAGCCTGTATATAGCTAGGTAAAGATGACATGTCGGGCAGATCCTCCAGCCTGGTGTCTCAGTACTTGTTCACACTGAAGCCTTCCCAGTGGCAGAGACCATCAATTAGCCAGTTGGACTCTCTGTCTCTGTCTCTCTGTCTTTTGTCTATATCTCTCTGTCTCTGTCTCTCTCTGTCTCTCTCTCACTTTCTCTCTATCTCTATCTCTCTCTCTCTCTCTCTCTCTCTCTCTCTCTCTCTCTCTCTCTCTCTCTCTCGCTCTCTCTCTCTCTATCTATCTCTCTCTCTCTCTCTCTCTCTCTCTCTCTCTCTATCTATCTATCTATCTATCTCTATTTCTATTTCTTTCTCTCTCTCTCTCTCTCTCTCTCTCTCTCTCTTTCTCTATCTCTATCTCAGATTTACACATACCAACCTACAGCACACACATAACACATAGAGCTCACACGTACATGCGCTAGTTGGTGTCACGACAACTATCTGTGTCTGTTTCTGGCGTGCTTGCTTCTTACATACTGCCAAACACCTGCCCCCCCCCCCCCCAAACTACATACATGTACTACACATTTATGCGTGCACACATACGCACACATATAAAATTGCCAACGCATGCATGCACACGCACATGCCCCTCCCCCCCCCCCCCCCCCACACCCACACCCACACCCACACAAACACGCACACACATTCACACACGCACACATATTTTTTATGCATAGGTTGTTGAACCACAGCGAGTCTTGACCAACCCTAATGCCGAAAATGACGGACTAGCCTCGGATCAAGATTCCCATGACAGTCCAATACGTGGCACTGCATCACCTCGCAATGATGATACACCCGTTGAGGCTTACGGCAAGGTACAAACTGTGTTTGTTTTTCAGTACTCTGTTGGAAAAGTTGTTGGCTAGTATCTCACCTACAGCAGTATAGGCTGAGAAACATGGGCCAATCTCTACAATCTCATTATCTAGCAAGAGGAGAAAGACTCGTCTGGCAGCTAAAGTGCACATGAGGTAGAAATTGCTCAAAAGTTGCATTCAGAAGATATACGAGTCAGACTCGTTACTTCTGCCGTGAGACACTAGAGCTAATTATCTCTTGCTCTGAATGGGCAGTTTTGTGGGTCAATTCCCCTCTTCTCTCCCATGCAGGGCACATGTTACTGCTGCCTAAGACAACAGCTGGTGCTTTTTATGGAACAATATTGGCGAAACTGCGTAGGGAAATGCAAATTTGAAGACTGCAGTATATTGACATTGTCATCGTGCACTAGAATTGGTATCGTGGCACTAAAATTGGTATCATGCTGGCCCTGAAGTGGCAAATCTCAGGTTTTATGTAGCTGAGAAAAAGACCGTGTACCTGGTGACATTCTGCCGGGTGTGCTCTGACCACCATTTCTTGTCTGAGAGCAAGATCTTTGCCGAGGTACAAACATTGTCGAATCTTCTTCTGTCTGCACAACAATGAAACTGTGTGAGTGGTCAGTGAGGACACAAGGCGTTAACCTTGCTTGTGTTTCCGGGTGTTTGTTTGTGTGTGTTTGTGTGTGTGTGTGTGTGTGTGCGCACCTGTTTGTACGTTGGTGTGTTTGTATGTGTTTGTGTGCGTGTGTATGTGTGTGTGTACAAGTGTGTGTGTGTGTGTGTTTGTTGGTGTGGGTGTGACACCCGTTCCTGTCTCCTATGCGGGGAATGGGAATGTGTGTGTGTGTATGCGTGTGTGTGTGTGAGTGTGTGTGTGTACGCGGATTGTTGCTCCGCGAGCTTGTGTGGGTGCATATGTGCCTATGTTGCCATGCTGTGCAGGAAAACAAGAACTTTGATCAAGGCAGTACAGAAGAGTGAGAGTGGAGTTGGCAGAGTTTCTCGCCTTTCCGTCGCTGTAAGTTATACCAATTGTTCCACGTCTTTTTGTCCTTTTTATACTGTGTCAGGGGCAGCTGGTCTCCCTTTCAGGGGAGGGGGTGGGGGGGGGGGGGTGCACGGCCGCATATGTGTAAGATGGCTGGTGCGTGTCGACATGTCATTCATGGTCATTTTGTTGCCTCCCCCCCCCCCCTTCCCATTATGGTAGCCAAAAAATCAAAGTCAAGGAAGCAGTTTTATACCCAATGTCAACAAACAAATATTTTTTGGGACCGTAAAGAGGAATACGGCTAAGACTGTGCTGCGGTCAAACCCCGGAAAATACGGTTATCCTTGTATCCTCTACCTTTCCAGGGAATGTCAAAACACTATAACAAACTCAACTTTTTCTTGCTTTTACTTTTGCACACTCATTCACTAAACCCCTTATCTACCCCCACCCCATGTCAATGCATACACACACATTCACACACCTGTCCTGAGCATTGCCGTAAAACGGTCACATGTCCCCTCACACGAGGGGCCGACAGACATGGGGTAGGTCGTTGAATACGGTACGCAGCACCCTCCGCAGGCTAGCGGCCAACGAGAGTTCGGGTATACTTCGCGCAGCTGCGGAGTTGGAAACCCCTCTTTGATCGGCAGCATCTGCCACATGCGCTGCAATGAGCCTGGCAGCAGGGTAGTGTTAGCTGAGTCCTCGCCGGCACTGGTACTGCCGCAACCGAGTTGGGCGCAGACAAAGGAAGGTTCGCCACTGTGCCTGTAGAACGATTGTCGTCGGGTCGACACTTATGGACAGCGAGGCCTCCGGTGCTCCTGAACCATCTCTTACACGCCGGGCATTTCCTGCTCCCAATCTGATCTGCCATCGGCTTTCTGCGCTCCTCTTTGCACTTGTGTCGGGCCATACCACTCTTCGACAGTGACCGGCCACATACCCCGCATGGTGTTCGTGGTTGCGGGCGTGGTCCAGATGACTCAACGCTGGAGTACGCCCCTCGCCATTCACTGCGCTCTTATGCCAGGTCAAACCACTCCTCATCGCCCAGGTCGAGGCATCGAACATCCGCACACACACACACACACATACACACACACACACGCACATATGCACACACACACACATACACACACACACACACAAACACACACGCACGCACAGACACACATTGAACCTTGAACGTGCCCATTGCCGATGGCAATGATAGCGAATGGACTAACTGCTAGCTTTGCAGTACAGAGCGTGGCGCTTGAGATCCCCGGGACGACGGCAGACCTTTCCACATGCGCAGCGGAAGCCAGAGTCAGGATCAGGGAGAGCACGGGCAGGAGGACAACGATGAGCAATCCGCCTCCAGGCAGAGCGATCCTGGGCAGCATCCAACAAGCAGTCAGAAGGCAAAGGGGGGCTTACGGAGAGAGAGAAACAAACACAGTGACACACCTTCCTTCCTTACTTCTTCCACTGCCATTACTGGCTATGTGGCCCCATAAGGATAGGACCAGGAGACGTGTTGTACACCAGGCGGGGAACACCAGACTCAGTGCGCGCATGCTGCGAGAACAAAGTTACATTCGTGCCTCGCAATATCCTGTGGTCGACGAAAACTGAGCGCACAAGTGCCACAGACGAGGGACTTTGTCACAGACTCCATGGGAGACTAGAAAATAGTGTTCATCACATACACACACACATACACACACACATACATACACACACACATACACACACACATACACACACACGCACACACACACACGCACACACACACACACACACATACACACACACACACATACACACGCACACACACACACACATACACACACACACACATACACACACACATACACACACATACACACACACACACATACACACACATACTCGCACACACATACACACACACACACACATACACACACATACACACACGCAAACACACACACATACACACACACACACATACACACACACACATCTTACACACACACATACACACACACACATACACACACACACACTCTCTCTCTTCCCCATTCCTTCTAAAATGGTCACATTCTACATCTGTGTTTTAACTGTTTTTTTTCATGTTATTTCTTTCTCTACAGGTTGTAACTTGTGTATTTCGGTGCTGGACAAAACGAGTGCATGCAGCTACGTTTACGTCACCCCTCCAATCCTTCCTCCGTGGTTGTCTCTGCATTCTGCACCACCACATCTCCATGTCCTTACTATTCGCCATTGTGTCATATACTCGATACAATCTTTTCCACTGACCTGTTCATTGTTTGGTTTGTAGTCTGCTGAACTGCAAACATCTCTCTCTCTCTCTCTCTCTCTCTCTCTCTCTCTCTCTCTCTCTCTCTCTCTTTCTCTCTTTCCAACATGTCTTCTCGGATTGTGCTGACTGACAATGCAACATGATTCATTTCCCCATCATGTCTCGGTTGCTCTTGAACATTTGTTCCAAGTCTCGGCTGCTCATGTATACCTGTATCAGGTTTTCCCCACCAGTTTTATGTTGTTAGATGCCTCCAGCAATCACACGTTTGACCTTTTTTGTTTGGTTTTGAAACCAATTCCTAAAGTCACCAGGCCCCGCTATGTCTCCAATGATTTTGAACAACATTCCGTCTTGGAATGAATTCCATTCAACAGCCTTTCCGGCTTAGAATGATTTCCATTCCACAGCAGTATCCGTCTTTTAAATTTCCAATCACCATCTTGTTGCGATCTCTGACCAACTTTCTCCGCCACAAGCCAATCCATCTTCTCCTGTGATTTCTTGTGTGTGCGCGGACGCGTGTTCATTGGTGAATGTGGCTGTGCGTGTGTGTGTGTGTGTGTGTGCCATTGATTGGTATACTATTCCAGCGTAACCATGCGTCACCAGGTAGACAGGTAACCATGGGCCTAACAGTTGACTGGTACATACATTAGACATGGTTAGCATTTTACCGTTCACGCTAATTTTTTGATGGGCGGCGTGTAGAGGGCGAGTCTACTGTTTTTTGTGTGTTTTCGAGACACGGTTAGCAGGTCGGCTTCTGAGTCCTGACTCCTGACGCAACGATCGACTTGTGACGTAACCCTAGTTGGAATCTTACCGTTTCGTTCTCCAGCTAAACAGAGCTTTCTATCGTCGAAACGGTACCAAGCCGACGGTATTTTGGTTGTTGGGGACGAGTACCTTTGGATCTAGCGCGTGAACGGTAAAATGCCATGTCTACACGCACAAAAAACGGTACAGGCCGACCGTCGAAAATAGCGTGAACGATAAAATGCTAACCATGTCTATTGTCTTTACTGTCTTGATGCTCATCAGCTGCCATACAGCACGTGATGTTCGGAACAGTGAGAACATTGAAAAGAAATGGAATACTTCTCATGAAATAGAAGCCTGGGGCTGTAATTTGTGTTTGAAGAGGGGAAGCAAGGACTTGAAATGTGTTATTGGTAATGTCAAGTAATGTGATATCTAGTTATCAGTCGATGCAGTTATAAACGACGTCGTAACGATGAAGGAGCCAGTATCAATCTAACCATGTACCATTATTTTTTTAAACCATCCGCGCCTTGACATCCAATTGCACAAAATCATCAAATTGTCTTATTGGAATCACGAGTCCATGTGTCGTGAAAGAAATAGCTAGAAATATTTCTCTCTGACTAACTCCCTACCCAATAATTATGACGGACTTACAGCAGTGGATTTGATCAAATGATTTATTTTATCGATTCACATTGATGGGGCGGTACCCAACACTCGTGTAGAAATCTGGCGATACATCAGCATAAATAAAGACCTGCATTAATTAAGAAAATTGGTACTGACCAAGGCGCTTGCTCACGGCAAACTTGATGACATTCTATAGTTTCCTCCGAAACCAAATTGTTAGCACACTTAGAAAGTGAACAAATATCAGGCTAATCATTAATTTTCAAGAAAACCTTCACCGTTTGTGCCGATGCACTTTCCATTTTTTCCACAAATACGGTATACTTGACACTACATTGAGCAGCTTGCTTGACGTGAAAGGTAGCGGTGAATTCTAATGCAGGATGTCGTCCGTTTAGGGTTGTTAAGTTATAAAGTTCTCGCAGGTTTCTTGGTCCATGTCGTGACAAAAAGACATCATCTACAAAACGGTAGTACACCGCAGGCCATAGCGATGGGGGAATGCATGATTCGCAGAATCCAACGAAAATGTTTGCTAATACCGGACCAAGTGGAGATCCCATCGCAACTCCATCCAATTGTTTACTAGTATACATGACATTGTCAAAGGAAAACTCAACACCTGAATTGACCATTAACATGAGTTTGACAAATTCCCACTTATTCAAATTTGGTGGAGTCACCGACTTGCTATGGTGTTCTTGACGCAATGGTTATTTTAAAGGGCGAGCACAGTCTGTAGCATTACGCACAACCACTTGGATATCTTACATTGTGGAGAACCGGACATGCTTATTATTGGGCGTAATGTCAACCGAAGCAACCCAACGAAACAGAACAACGGCAAGCGTCGAAGGTGAAAGAACTAAGTGATCGGACGTCGTCCATCAAGCGCCACTTGTCGGACAGTGCTAGTTGTCGTACGATATTATTGTGATGATATTATACCCAATGCTGTAGACAGCAAGTTGTTTCGGCCATAAAGGCCTCATCAGTAAAGCTGAGCTAAATAGGCCGATCTAGCAGCCATGGTGCAAAGGAGGCACCACAGAAATTAAGCTAGCTCGTCGCTCTAGCGCCAGAGTGCTCAAACTACAAAAAGTAGCGGGCATTGCGCGATGCTGCAGCACTAGAGCAGCCTACTGAGAGTGCTCAACAAGGCGAAAGCCGAGGAGCGTGATACCCAATGCTGTAGGTAGCAAGCTGTTTCGTCTATAAAGGCCTGATCAATACAGCTACGAGCTAAATAGGCCGAGCTACCAGCCATGGTGCAAAGAAGGCACCACAGACATTAAATTTGTAAGCTAGCTCGTCGCTCTATATTATAATGTATGAGTTATTTTAACTCGTGGAAGGTCTAAGTTACATCTTGCTGTGTTAGAAGCTCTGTATTTTTCGTAAACTAGATCCAGAACTATGTGTACAGAAGGAGAATGTGTTATCGCAGTTGTTTGGTGTGACACCTCGTGAAAGTCAGACAAGTGTTTCCTGATGTGTTCAACGTGTTTGTCTACAATTTGCAGCTTTTGTTTTTAACTCTTTAATCATTAAATTTATTAATTTTTTATAAGGAAACAATTGGAGGCGTATCCAATTTCCAAAGAAAAGGTGTCAGCACCGACGCCATCCACACAGTCAAGTAAGCCAATTTAGTAACCGAACGTTTTCGTTCGAAGCTGTCCCCTGAACTCTGATGTGTTCAGAAAGAAAATGTTTTGTCACTTCAGTTGTTTGGCGCTACTTCTCGTGAAAGTGTCAGGAATTCTTCTTCTTGAAACTCGGATGTTGAGCCATGAATATAATGTAGAAAAGAAAAGGACATAATTATGGATACGAGTTAAGAGTAACTCTCCATCACTGTAACTGGATACTATATGAGCCGAAAACGAGCAAAAGCTACAGTCCCAACGGAACAAAGAATGTCGATTGTTACTGGACGATGACGAAACCAGTACAATATTTGACAAAGCGGTCCAACTACTTCAAAAGAAGTACAATTCGAAGCAGCAAAGCAGCACACCACCAAACTTGGGTGGGTCATAAGCTTTGTCAAATATCGTACTGGTCTCGTCATCGTCCAGTAACAATCGACATTCTTTGTTCCGTTGACTGTAGCTTTTGCTCGTTTTCGTTGCGCTTGCCTTCCCCTCTTTGGTCTTTTCATAACCTTGAACATTCCAAGTTGGAAGGCTGTCGGTTAGCGCTACGGAGATGTGTTGAAGCTAGGTGTCAGGACGTCTAATGTCTCAGTACTCTGTCAGTTGTGTGCCTAGTTATTGCACTTTCTGACTGTATATAGCATCCAGTTACAGTGATAGAGAGTTACTCTTAACTCGTATCCATATGTCCTTTTCTTTTCTAAATTATTCTTCTCATTGATGTTTTCCGTTTTCGTTTTTCATTTTGTCCTTTTTCTTTTTTCACCATAATTTTAGTCATTAACTTTCTTCACCTCAGCTGAATTCTTTTTTTTCCATACATATAGCGTGAGGTTCTCAATCTATGCTTTTGCTGTAGCTCCAAAAGTTGCTGTATTTGACTTTTTCCATTATTCCCTGTATTCACCCATGATGAGAAGGGAACAAAAAAAGCTCTGTTACCAAATTGGCTTACTTAACTGTGTGGATTGCGTCGTTGCTGGCACCTTTTGTTTCGAATTTTCTTTATTAAACTTATGAACTCGAATGGAGAGCCAAGGATAATTTAAAAAAAGTAAAAGAACCAAGGAACTACAAGTTACGCTGTAATGTCCACTAATACCACCAGTTACTAAACAATCAGCTCATGCGATAATATTGCACGACACTGACCAACGGTACTGACATTCTACAACTAACTGGCTAACAGCTCTAGCACACCATGGATGCGCACTCCAAAAGCCTTCCAACTTGGAAGGTTATAAGTTATAGTAATAACATAAGGAGGGAAATTTATTAAATTTATTTTTGTTGGGCTTTTTTTGTTACCTGTTGCGCCAGTGATGTCAATAAATTTTTATTTTGTGACTGCCCATATAAGAGGCTTTTCCCACATACCTTCAAACATGTTCACTGGAGTATCTTCATACCAACAAGTGATCCCAGGGAGTGACGCGACATCAAGCGCTGGAAAGGAGCTTTCGCATCATATTCTTAATAAGCTTCGTTCGGTCTCTCCCAGCTTGTAGTCACACCTCTCCTAACGGAAGCCTGTCCAGCCTAGACTCGCTCGCTCCCAAACGTCCCCAATCTGTATTCTCTGTCGACGATGCTGCCCGTCTTGATGCGTCGGCCATTCCCAGGTAGTTACCACCCTTTTCTACAGAACGGTAACCCGAACGCCTGCAAGGGAAGTGCCATGCTACTGTAGCCCTGCAGCTAGTCCATACAGTACAGTTTTGTGCTAGTGCCACCTTCTGTGTGACTAGCAGCAAATAATTATGTATCTTTCCTCATTCAACTGGTATGATCTGATGGACAATGCTGGTTACACTAGAAGTGCACGGAGACTGTGGAGTTCAAGTCTTGATGACCTCAGGTTAGTTTGGCTTGTACTGGATGCACACACTAACACATCCACACATGAAAACGGATGAAAACAATCATTAATTTAACCCTAGAAGTACCGGAGGCATCATATGATGCATTTGCGAATTTCAAAATGGGATTGCTGTTAGATGGGGGCTTAGAATCTCCCCAAATTTGTAACTTTTATTTATTTTGCATTTTGTTAATGGCAGTGGGTTGTGTTTTCAAATATTTAGTACAGTTCCGAAATGCCAGGGGGTGCTACCTAGAACTACCGCGCGGCATCATATGACTCCACATACCATAGGCATCAATAAAAGGGCGAATTTGGCTAAGAACCACGCGTGAATAACGCGAAGAGGAATACATTTGGGAGCAAGGAGATTGGGGACCATGAAGGTGGTGATTTGTACATATGGACTTGCTAATATGCACATTTCACGTGCCGTTATGGTCAATATCGTAATCCCGAATCCTGTCGAAACAGGAAAATGTGTTAGTCCTAAGTTTGGAAAGTGATTCACTATGTCATCTGCAGCATAGAACGATATGAAGTGCCGGGCAGTTATAATAATTCTAGGAACGTTCTTTGAGTTTACCTTGGTCTGGCGGAAGCCATGTTCAGTAGGCACAGTGTCGCTGCCGATAAAGCATTTCATTTGATTTTGAAATTGTTTGGGCAGGAGTTTGGGGATAAATGCGAGGAGAGTGCCTGGAGCATTATGAGCGAGCAATTAGAAGTAACCGAACACAGAGACACATAGTTATAATTATGATCCAGATGAAGATGAGTGAATACTAATTGCTCCGGCTTCTCGATCAGTCTGATACGGGACCGGAGTCGAGGGAGCAAGCGGATAATGGTGGTGATAAAGCTATGGAGCCATACACATAACAGAACATCAATGTCCAAAACTCGGGCAGGATTTCCTTCATGAAGCTGGGTTCTCTGGCAAAGTTGGTAGATAGTGGAACATGTGTTGCACCAAGCAAGCACGAACGCGCAACCGGTTGTTGCTTCCGAAGTTTGCGGGCTTTTCCGAGATATTCACAATTTGAAGATTGGGCAGATGCATTAATTTGCATTTATTGACCAGAGTATGATCCATGTCGTGATCAAGTGCACAAGGTAGGAGGAGAAACAGAAAATTGGAGAGGACACTATTTTGAGGGAAGACAATATCATGGCATTGGTTTCGCAAATTTACGCAAGAGGCGTCCTCTGTACCCGCAATAATCTGCCGACGGTCCTTCGGCTGGATAGGAATGGACACCATTATAATCAAGTAAAATCCCTAAAAATAGTTTCCAAGAACTGCTCTGCTACTTGCGGTTTGATCACGAAGAGCGTCTCCGGACACGACGTCGAACGGAAATTATTCGTTCGCTATGAGTTGCGACACCAGGTTCTCCTTTCGCTCGTAAATGTATTTATCACAGCAGTCAAAGAATGACCAACCTGGCTGAGAAAAATCCAGCACGTTGGCCAAGCAGCAGCCATTTCCGGGGTAATGGACTGAAATGTAGAGTTTGCAGGATGAGCATGGCAAGCAAATGCTCTTTTATTTTTCCGTAAACTGACGAGAGGTCGCCCTTTCGCTGCGCGCAATGCCAGCTGCTGGTCTCCAAGATAGTGCACCTGTCATTGGTTTTTCCTTTTAAAAGGTACCTTTTACCCCAAGGACTTCTTTTTCTACACATATTGCCGAAAATAATTCCAAGGAGGTATGTTTAAGTCCGGTGGAGTCATATGATGCCTCCGGTACTTCTGGGGTAGTTGAAATATTGGTACTTCTAGGGTTAAAAAACACAGATGAAAATGTATCGGCTCGTGCTAGAGTGAGTCGTCAGAAATTGAACTACGGAGATAGAGCTTGGGCGTGTGAACGAGCTTTTTACTAATTTCACTCTGTAACAAAATTAAGCCCTCAGATGGTGAGCCAAGGAAAAAATTGTAATACCGAGTATGGCAAATTGTGGGCACAGGTTATGCGATCGAGTCCCCCAACTAAACCATAATTTTGAAGAGTCCGAGGAATTATCACTAATATCCATGAACCTTCCAAGTTGGAAAGCCGTTGTTTAGCGCTATCGAGCAGTGCTCAAGCTGACATGCCGCAGAAATGTCTTAGTATTCCCTGTCTGGTTTGTGCTAGATTGTGCACGTCTGAGTGTTCAAAATCTGGTCAAGTTGGTGGACTCGATCGCATACCTTGTGCACACAATTTCCATGTTAGAATTGTAACAATACTCAAACTGCGGACAGCATGCTGTTTCGTTCTTTTTGAAATCATCAGCGCAGCACTGAGGAAATGAGGCCGAACCTGATAGCAATGAAAATATAAATTTCCAATCAGAATCATGACATTACAAAATTGCTAGGATTGCTCGCGTAGTAGTAGATAATAATGACTGGAGTGACTGGAGTTAGAGTGGTGGATTTCAAACCTTAAACCGGTCATGCATGAGACACACAGCAAAAAATCATGTAAAAGAATTGGGATGCATTTTGCAGCAAGCAAAATCCGACAAGACATGTTGGAAAGAGAGAGGTTTTTTTGCTGTCCAGCAGACGGAAGCAAAGGGAAGAGCACAAAAGGGTGAAATGAAAGCGTTTTATGCAGGCATTGCAAGGAACCAAGTTGCCGCACCTTGGCCTTGGTGGATCACGAAGACGGTACACTCAGCCGAGAAATCCACCAACCAAGTAGCATGCATTATTCAACCAATAAGGTAGAGAGATTGTGTCACCGAAAGAAGTATATAGAACAAAAACCTCACTGTTTGACTTTAAGTAAGCAAGATGATCGCAAATTACAACAGGGACAAGGCGAAACAATTGAGAGGTAATACAAAAAAGGAGAGCAGGGAGGGGTAAGGCAAGTAGATACTGTCCATCCAGAGCTGGGAACACGAACGCAGCCAACACTGGAGTGACCATCATTTCGAGCAGTCTCGCAGCTCAAACAGAAGGCTATGAATTTCTCTTTTCTCTCTCTGTCTTCCATTTTCTTCCTCTCTCGCTTCTTGGACGTTAAGTGCCTAATCCTTAGTTAGATCGTTAGTCCAGGAACGACCGAACACGGACAATGAAGACACGGCTCCACTGACCGTCACTAGGAAGAGTCGGGTAAATTGAACACGAGAGTGAGATGAGAGGAGCATTGCTTACATGACAACAACATACTAATAAAAGTCTGGATAAAGAGGAACAGGCGGTGGTGCATAATGCTGAGATGTCCATTGAGGATGGGTTCATGGCGGCACTGTGAAGAGAGGTGCATTCACGTGTTTTGTCCCGGCAGCGAAATGCGCGGAAGCACAACCTGAAAATCCAGAGAAAAAAACACCGGAAAGCAAGTACAATGCTCGTCAACTGTTGAATGAGTGTGTATGTGTGTGTGAGAGAGAGAGAGAGAGAGAGAGAGAGAGAGAGAGAGAGAGAGAGAGAGAGAGAGAGAATGAGTTGGATAGAGAGAGAGAGGAAGAGAGAGATAGGGAGAGAGATACATATAAAGGGAGAAAGAGAGCAAAAGAGAAGGAGAGTTTTTTTTTGGGGGGGGTAGGTTTAATGGGCAGGCGGGTGCGCGAACACGGAAGAAAAACGGAATATAGAGTACTAGATATTGTCTTGTTGTTCGTCAGAAAGAAGAGGATAAGATTAAGAATAATTAAACGATCCTGTAGAAGTTGTACAGCTCACCAAGATGGGAAAGAAGACAAGTTCAAAGTCACTCTTCTACGCTGTCTCGATGACAGGTCTTGTTAACCTGTATAGCGTGGCAATACAGGAACATAGGCACATACACAGCCAAGTACACATGGGAGTGTGCACATCAACACCAACTTTCTCTCTCTCGCACAGAGACACACATACTTGTATACAAACACCCATACACACACACTCACGCATTCGCTCACGCAAACACATTCACACTCACACACTGTTTAGAAAGGATTTTTTAAAGGCTTTTGTTACACAGTACGTTCGGGCCTGAATGGAAATTTCAATTTTCATTGCCAACAGGTTCGGCCTCATTTTCTCTGTGCTGCGCTGATGAGTTCACAAAGAACGAAACAGCATGCTGTCCGCAGATTGAGTATTTCCAACATCCTTATTTAAACTCATGAATAATAGTTTTTGAATCTTCACAATTTCATACTGTTCAAGTAAAAGTAAAAGTACTAACCAACAACGTGTCTTATACTGTAATATAAAACGAACATAGCTCGTACCTTGCTGTAAACTGGTATATCATCATTGAGAGGTGATGCAGTGCCACGTATTGGACTGTCACGGGAATTTTGATCCGAGGCTAGTCCGTCATTTTCGGCATTAGGGTTGGTCAAGACTCGTTTTGGCTCACCATCCAAAGCATAAAAACAACGCTCTCGTGTGAAAATATAATGTTTAGTCGTCCATATGAGCGCATGCATTCGTAGGTAGTACATGCGTGTTCGAGTAGTGTTTACACGGTTTTAAGGATGTTGACCAAATCACAGCCATTACACGACTGTACCAATTACAGGATCAGGAATAATATACACAATCATATCCATTTGCCACATTGCCACTCTTCATCCAAGTGGCAACTCAGCAGCAGTAGTAATATCAGCAGCAGCAGCACCACCAACAAAATCTACATCAACACCAGCAACAGAAACAGCGACAGCAGCAGCAGCGCTGACGAGTTTTGCAAACGGCTGCTTTGTGCAACAGCAGCAGCAGCTGCAACAACTACTGCACCAACATCAAAAGAGGAAGCAGCGACAACAGCAACCACAACAACAGAGGCAACAGTAACAGCAGCAGCACCACCAGCAGCAGCAGCACCACCACCACCAGCAGCACCACCATCGACAGCAGTAACAGCAGTAACAGTAGCATTCAGTCACTAGCACCAGTAACAACAACAGCAACAGCAACATCAACAACAACAACAACAACAACAACAACAACAACAACAACAACAACAACAACAACAACAACAACAACAACAACAACAACAACAACAACAACAACAACAACAACAACAACAACAACAACAACAACAACAACAACAACAACAACAACAACAACAACAACAACAACAACAACAACAACAGCAGGAGCAATCTATTGTTCTCTGTGAAGACCTTCGCCACCCCTCTGTGCATCATGTGCGGAGCAAAGCTTAACAGACCATTACTACTCTTCAATATGGAGAGAAGGAACATTGCAAATCACAAACCTTTTTGGGGAAAATGACTTCCGCGTATACAGTTCCTTGGCCAGCTGCCGGTATCGATGCCATTGGAGCTTCTTCCTCCGACCGGAACACAGGAGTGGTTGTGCTTGTTGTAGTTAAGGAAACACTTGGGTCAGTGTTTGGAGTGGTGACGGGTATGGTGGTATTGGTGGTTGTGGTGCGGGCATTGGTGGATTTGGGTGTGGTGGCGCTGGTGGTTTCAGGGAGCGTTTCCGAATCCTCTCCAGCATCATTGGCTAGACAGATCTGAAAGAACCGGAAAAGCGGTGGGTAGCTGATAGACATTTCCGCATGTCTGTTCATGCACAAGTCACTATGTAATAACAGCTAGCCACTCACATAGGATTTTGAGGTTAACAGCCATAGTCATGTTACAGCTTTAGCAAATTGACACCTTTGTCCATGCGACAGTTTTCACAACATAAAAGCTTACATCTTGTAGGCACTTAATGTCATTGTCAGCTGAACATTCAACGGCTGCATCTGTAATCTTGCTGGGGAGAAGACACATCTCCTGAACAGCAAAATAGCAAGCAAACGATAGGATCCTGAAGATTGCGAAACACCTTTCCAAACCAGATATTACTGGACTTTTCTCTCTTGTATTTTTTCCACCGAATGTCCATGGTGAGGGCTTTAACATTACTTGTAGGACATTAGGCTGTCGCGAGGCAGATGTTCAGGTACACATACACAATCTCTGGATATCTACTTGACAAGTAAGTCGGATCAAACGTTCAAGACAAGGTTGCTGAAAGCCATACCAACGGAGCTGGCTGCTTAACTCCAGAAACTTTTATTAATTTATTTATTTCACCTTCCCGTGGCCAGAGAATATAGGCCAATATGGAGAGGGGGGGGGGGGGGGGTGGTAGCCAGCCATGGCAGTAAACAAAAAAACAAAGCAACAATAAATACATGTTACACATTACTGGAGGCAAAGAGAAACAAATCTTGATGAAGAATTAGCAGTTATTAGAACACGAGCATTATGTTGGCCTTGAAATCATTTAGCGTACAAGACGATTTTACTGATAGAGGCAGGGCCAGCCAGAGAGAATAGGCAGCGAAAAACGGAGATCTGGTATAAGCTGATGTTCAGGGGTTTATTGAAGATAACACCAAAACTACAGCATACATTGAAAGATGACGTGTGCTATTTTGCATGCCCAGTATTTTAAACCAAACCCTCAGCTGAAAAAATATGTGAATTGTACTCGTTGCCATGGCACCATCCTCACTTCTACTGTATATCTTCAGCCTAAACATTTCATCTTCCCACAATCGTGCTTTATAGCAGTACTCTCGGGGCAGGGTCAGTATCAATTTTCGTCTGATAATCGTTTTCAGTTCAGAGTAACAAAAAGCAAATGCTCGTTCCTTTGTATGTATCTTAAACGTACAGAGTGTGCTGGTTTCGGCACAGTATGCCATTGGCTAGTTCATTATAATTATTATCCTTCAAGGTACTTTTCCTATATCTATTGTTGTTGTAGTTTTCCGTGTTTGAATTCGCTAAAACCAAACGGACAGAGCTGTCCAGTGACAAGGGAGCGAATGATGAGTGTCATATCACTATGCATCAAAAGCGTCTTGGGGCAAAATGAGACATAACATTATGGTGCGAGGCATCCTGTAACTTCATAGCTCGAAGAGAAGTGGTGAGCTCACATGCTCCTTCCCTAATCACTGGAAATTCACAACTCAGTTCACCGCATCAGTAAATACGCAGTGATACGGATGAAGTGAATCCGCAGTGCCCAGGAAAAGAGCATGTATGCTCATCACTTCTCGTTGATTTGAACATGGACAATAGAAATAGTGGAGTAATAAGATGATTCAAAGGATGATAAAAAGGTTTCTTGGAGTCTGCAAGAGACATGGAGCTAGACAACCACCAGGGGAAGAGTGGTGGGGATGATCAAGTTGGTCTTTGTTCTCATGATAATGAGTAGTAATATGCATTCACGCAATAAGTATAATATTGCTGATCACGAGCAGCAGCACGAAGCACGGAACCATCAAGAAGAGAGATGTGATTTTCATTGAGGCCCAAGTACCGCCTGTGGAAACATGGATGGCCAGAAGAAAAATCAGGGAACCTATCGACATTGGAGTGCGTCGCCCGGAGATCAATATCTCCTTCGGATGGCCATTGAAGGCACTAGCAACCTCACAGTGAAACTGCTAAATCTTGCTGTGTTTATACGGGATTCTACACACAATGAGCGTGGTATCCACCTTCGTACACACATTTCCTGCGCTTTATCTGCTGAGCTGCTGAATACCCACTCTTTCAGCGCACTTCTCCTTGTCTGCTGTACATGAAAAATTCATCAACTCAATTTCATACGGATATTTCCTGTTTCGTTTGTTTTGTACATAGGCATACTTACGCTCTCGCTTGCTTTCATTATAAAAGGCCAGGTTCGCATTTTGTTAATAATAATATTATTGTTCTGACGGTGGGTGACTGGCTCGAAGCGTCAATGATTCTTTGGACATCATTATAAAAAGAATTTTCATCCAGCGCATGGGCCAAGAGTGAATTGCAACTAAATAGAGCGGTTGTCAGTTGAAAAAACCCTTTATTTAAGTACAATATTATTGTGCAAAACATGGTTCCGCTGCTGTTCCTCGGCTAGAGATTACCCGTACCGGCGCGCACGCTATGCGGTGTGAGTGAAGCCTCTTCAAGCTGCTCGATCCTGGTCCATTACGGAGCGCTCATCTAGATGGTGATGAGTGCGGAAAGGCCTGGCGCATTCCTGTGTGACACGATGCAGAACACCCAGCAGTGTGGTGCGAGGTCACCCTCTCCTTCCGCGTAGGCCAAAGATAATGAGCACGATGGCAAAAAGGGCCAAGCCGCGGGAGCGAGGTGCTTAGTGAAATAGACTGTTGTTGATGATATCCGTCTTGAAATTGAACTGGATTAATTCATTGACGATCACCCTGAGATCATTACAGTATCACTCATGGATCTGTCGCGGGCCATAAACACCCCTGTACTGCCCTAAAGATATCGGACGAATAAGTACTGCACGATACCCGTGATATCGAGATTAGATAAACAAGAGTGTGCACCTCCGCATCTCTCCTGTACAATTTGCAAATACTCTGGCCCACTGCGGAATTTTTTGTTGACGTCACCTTTTTTCACAGAGCATGCACATTTTGCCGAAGAGTCGTGTGAGAGCACGTGCTGGGCACCGACCTTGTAATGTACTAAGGCCCGGCCAAGTGCACGAGAAAAAACTTACGAAGACTCGCAGCGTGTGTCTCATAGAAAAGATTACGTCAACAAAACATTCCGCCGTGGGCCAACCCGTCGGCGAGTTGCACACTCTCGCTTATCTACTCTTGGTGACACTGAAACGGCCAACATCAGCTCGGAGACCGTGAATATTGAGAGAGTCCTTCCAATTCTTCTTGTCTGGGTATCACTTTCTTACAACTGATCTGATTGTGCCAAAGATTTCTAACATACTGGTTAATGCTGATATCGCCGCCATCTTTGTTTATGAAAGCCGACCCGGCCCTGCACTACTAGGGTAGTGGAACGCTAGATGGCCACGGAGCTAAGAACATTTAAAAAAGGAACTTGAAAACACCAACATACCTCATATTTGGTGTCAGGTGTAGCCGACGATGTTCCAGTAGATAGTTTAGTGGTGGTGCGGGGTGCCGGGATCACTACATCGTCGTAATTGGGAATCGGAGAAGAGTTCGACGAGGATGCCTCAGCGTTGCTGGCTGCAGCGGTTGACTCCTTCATCAAAACACACAACAACACGGACAAATCCAGAGGAGATGCTGGTACATGGGACGGGGGGGGGGGGGGGGAGATAGAACAGAAAATGATTCGCCAGTGCACGTACCTGAAATGAAGCAGTGTTTGCCGTCGCTGTAACGGATGACCTGGAAGAGCACCTTATTGACAGGTAGAGCAGGTTTGTGGCTGTGTCATGGTGGTAGCTTTCCAACAGCTCACCAGTTGCTTCCAGTCGTCGTGATGTAAAAACATACATAAACACACACAAACACACAAAAACACACACAAACACACACACACATGTGTACAAGCACACATGCACACACACATAAACACACTCGAACACACCCTGTGAGGCTATGTCAATCATCTCTTTCTTGTTTTATTTTATTTCACTTTCTCGTGGCTCTCTCTGTCTCTCTTTCTCTCTCTCTCTCTCTCTCTCTCTCTCTCTCTCTCTCTCTCTCTCTCTCTCTCTCTCTCTCTCTCCCTCCCTCCCCCCCCCCTCTCTCTCGTTCTCCCTTTATCTCCCTCCCTCCCTCTCTAGCTGCATTCCTATCGATGCCTGGTCGTAGGCTATGATTCCGAGACCTCCGGTCGGATGAGCCTCGCCAACCACATCGGCACATCGCCACTACTCCCCTTTGTCTTGTTGTCCAGTGTCATTTCAGTTGTCCTCTTCCCCTGATTATTAGTAGGACTGTGTTTGCTAGTAAAAAAATAACAAAACAAAAAACATACAATCAACCTTCCGTGCACACCCACACACAAGTGGACATTGAAACTGGCGTGTGTATGAACACAGATATGCGCACAACACACATACGGACAAAGTATATTGTTGTGAAAACGTTTCTCCACTGCATACATATTCCTTGAACACAGCAGGTATTCAAGAGCAGCAACAAAAGAGTAAGGAGATACCCCCCTCTCTCTCTCCCTCTATCTCTCTCTCTCTCTCTCTCTCTCTCTCTCTCTCTCTCTCTCTCTCTCTCTCTCTCTCTCTTTCTCTCACTCACTCACTCACTCTCACTCTCTCTCTCTCTCTCTCTCTCTCTCTCTCTTTCTCTCTCTCTCTCATAGTATACTTTTACGTATGTACTCAATCTCCGGAAACGTAGCTGTGTTGACATTCTTGGGTCATGTCAGCTCAGCTCAGAGTCAGTTACGTAATCAACCGTAATGCAGTCCAGTGACCAGCAAGCCAGTATTAAACCAGCAGAAAGCATCACAGCATCAGTGCGCTCTAGTAACTGTGTGAATCATAGCTACCCGGTATTCATATGTTACTATTGTATCCGTGTAGGTTAGGGCTGCAAGGAGTGCTTAGTGTCCTGGCAATTCAATAAGAACACAATTTTAGTACAACCGATTCTCCTTTGCTGTTGAAAAGACTGGCTTGGAACCGACAGTTGGTTTGTGTGTATTGTACACGCCTATGTGCATCCTATGTAGCACGCTCCTCTTCGTGGGTTGAACACTTTGGAAAGTCAACAGCAACTCCACTTTGTACATGCATGCATATTACTAAGTGCATTCTTCAAGTCTTACAAGTCCTCTGAGCAACGACATTGACTCCACCCTTCCGATAACGTATCACCAGCACCACACAAACTATGAGAAAGAGTGCAGCCAGTATTGCCACTCCAGTGCCAATACCTGCATACAAACCAAACATGCGGCCCTTTGCTGGTGGGGCGGGAGTATTGGTTGACACTGCGGCAAAATGAGTACAAGGTGACAAGAGAGTGACAAACCAGAATATGTTAGAAGCTATACAGTAGTATTAGAGTTGTATGGTGAGTCATGTTCTGTGTGGCTTCATTGAGCGTTCATGTCTAGTGGACCGAGAATCATTGACAGTGTTGTTGTCTAGGGGTCGTTTCATGACTACTTCACCCATTGTTTGATCTCACTGTCATCACCTCTAGGAGATTTGAAACTCAATAATTATAGAAAAATGTGCGTCTGTTGCATATGCATGGTGACTACTAAGGCTAAGTCTTTTGAAAAACAATACAGCATAATCTGTTTTATGTGACCTCTCTCACACTCACTGGTACAGGGATAAGTGGAGATTCATAGACTGCAAGGTACATCATCCTATCATGAACACACTGAATACTTACAAGGCATGCTGGTCATCATAGTTACAGTGGTAGTGGGTCTTGGGTGAACTCTGTATAGAACAGGTACACTTAGTACTGTAGAGTTGTGTGGAGACAGGGCAAACTCGTACAGGCCATCCTTGAACTGGACTGACTCATTGAACACACTGTAACTACAGATGTTTGACTGGTTTGCATTAGTAATATAAATACACTCAATTTGGTGCGGCCTAAACCAGAGGCTTAAGTTGACCAGGAAGTTCCGCAGATGGGCTGTCGGCACAAGAACATCATTCGCGCTGCCTTTCAAGGTGAGGAATTGTGAGTGATTTTTGGCCAGCTCTGCAGCAGCAGTGTCAGCTGTAATACGAGAGAAAGAATCGAATGGAGAGAGAGAGAGAGAGAGAGAGAGAGAGAGAGAGAGAGAGAGAGAAAACGAGAGAGATACCGATAAAGAAGAAGAGAAAGACAGATGACCAATCGGATAGCGTTTCTGCATCCCCTTAAGGACCAGATGGACCTTAAATTAAGCAACTCAAAGGAAAGATGAGAGTTAAAGAGTTTGTAGTTTTCGAAAAAAGTACAGATTAGTAGCAAGACTATCGAACCTGAACCAGGTCCCGTGGCCTGATTTTCTTAGTGTGACACTTTGTTCATCTCTTTCCTTCATGCGCCCTTAGAACAAAGCAACATTTGCAATCCAACTTTAACATGCAGCAAGTAAAGAAGACCCGTTCTATTTTATTCAAGTTGTTTGTTTGTTGCAAAGTCAAAATTATTATATTCCGTGTCTCAGTATAGTAACTGTCAGTGGAGCAACTTTACTCCGCAGTACCTGACTACAGCGGAGAACTCTGTCTTCGGTAATCACACAATCGCGACGGCAAGACTTAATAAGCATGCGCGTTTTCTTACCTTGCTGAAGAGAAGTGGAGAACGTGTAGATGATCCGGCCAGCAGATCTGATGGCAAATATCCCTTCAGGTAAGGAGAGATTATCCAGCTGGTAAAGTGTATTCTGTGTGTACACACTGTCTACTTTCCACTCTGATTCTAACCAGCTAAACACAGTGATGTTTGAACTCACTGCTGCTTGTCCAGTAGAACTTAGTAGCTCAACAATGGATTCACCTGTACATAGGGAAGTGCAGCACATTACACTCAGTCATATCATGGTAAGGTGAATATGACCTCTATATGATAGTTGTATATCGTGACGTCACATCCAGACCGACTTAGAACATAACAGATTACATGCGACTACAGTTTACGATGCCAGAATACATACAAAAATTAGCTGAATGATCACGGCAGTGAGGTGGGGAATGGACGGTTGGGTGGTAGAGGGGGGAGGGGCACAGTGGGCCGCATTAATGTCACGGCAAGAACTATCTTTCCATTCCTTTGGACCAAGGGAATGGAAAGATTCGTACAAAGGTGGTACGTCATCACTCCATGGTGAGATAGCGTGTGAACTGCCTCCAGTGTAGGGCAGAATCTAGCATTATCAACAAATAAACTCAAAGGGCCCACATCTTAATTGCTGCATCCACGTCTTCCCTGCAGCAGACGGCACAACAAGCTTCCAACTGAGTATGGACAACAGTACAGTTATATGGAACTGGTTATCCGCGTACAGGATCATGTGTAATGGACCATGCGAAATGCTATGACAAAGATTGCAGACAATAACCGTATGGAACATAGCAAGTCTAATATGATGCACACCGCACTGGTTACATAGCTTGCTGGTCTGATCAACGAGATTCACAATAATGTGCCGACTTTTGAGACTGGAAGTATCTGAGAATCTGCTTGATATTTTTCGCAATGGTGGATACGAAGCGACCTAGTCGTTATAATTTTGACGGCTTCAAGTAGATATCTCTGTCACCAGAGCACAGCAGCCCCGATGTAAGTGCCACGAAAAATTCCGCACTGTCCCGTTAGGGATAGGATGAAATGACACGTTTTCTATGACTTTTTAAGAAGAAAATTACCAGGAATATGACTGTTTCCAATTTATGATGTTTTCACGTCAGTCGTCACACGCACAAATCTAGCCATGAAGGTATACATGACCAGTGTGAGTAACATCTACTATGATCTAGAATAGAATATAGGTATTTATATCCAGGGTATTGCTAAGTTAACGAGAGTGTGTGTTGTAAGATGTGGGGCTGTCACACTGGACCATATCACTTACATCTGTGTGCGAATGTACGGATATAACCGCGTCTGCACACACACCGGTCTTCATTTCGTACGGCCACCAAGTTGTCGTTGACGTTGCAGTACCCTGTAGCATTAAACACAGGTACGCATCACACTGACAAATCTTTTACATAAAAAAGAACAGACCGAATTTGGATAAATCAAAATTGCCAAAGAGAAGTGTTGAACAACTTTTCCGATAAATTGAGAGCGAATCCCTAGTGAGCAATCTTCAGTGGGATTTTTTGCGAACTGTTTTGTTTGCGACATACGTAGATTTTAAGCTCAGACAGCAGAACGAGCAGTTGCGGTTTCGTAACTCCGAGTTTCACGGAACTAATCGATCATCAGACGAAAATAGATTTTATGCTCATGCGCTCTGTATGCATCTCAGCTGTGGATTTATCGAAAAACACCGAAAAATGATGAAGATTGCCCGCTTAAATCCCCGCTCGAACCTTCGATCATTATGTGATCGAGAGTCGTACAATTATACGTAAAGGGTTAAAAGTGAATACTGAAACACATCACATTGTACAAGTGGTGAGCCTTCCTGCAGCTTCATTGATAGAAAGAGGTTTGTTGAGTAGACTCGCTCTTTCTTATTCACTCCACAATATCGAACTCGTTTGCTTATCAGTTGTGTTTTTAGCATTAAAAACGAGAAATGCAGTACTTCATACTAGCTCTCTCTCTAGGGCTAGTTCTGAAGGAGAAGGGCTGAATGAGCCCGCCACATCATGCAAAAGTGCGCTTTAAATAACTGGGTTACAGCTCGTGGCGGTCATTGAATACTAGAGAGGATCGAACAGGCCCAGGCTTGTTATGTACACAGCCCCTTAGATTAAAAGGTGTGAGCGTGAAAATTCAACCTTAGGCTGAAAAAGAGAGAGAGAGAGAGAGAGAGAGAGAGAGAGAGAGAGAGAGAGAGAGAGAGAGAGAGAGAGAGAGAGAGAGAGAGAGAGAGAGAGAGAGAGAGAGAGAGAGAGAGAGAGAGAGAGAGAGAGAGAGAGAGAGAGAGAGAGAGAGAGAGAGAGAGAGAGAGAGAGAGAGAGAGAGAGAGAGAGAGAGAGAGAGAGAGAGAGAGAGAGAGAGAGAGAGAGAAAGGGGAGGGAGAGATAGATAGATAGATAGATAGATAGATAGATAGATAGATAGATAGATAGATAGATAGATAGATAGATAGATAGATAGATAGATAGATAGATAGATAGATAGATAGATAGATAGATAGATAGAAAGAGAGACAGAGAGAGAGAGACAGAGAGAGAGATAGAGAGAGAGGAAGAGAGACAGACAGACAGACAGACAGACAGACATACAGACAGAGACAGAGAGGGACAAACAGAGGGATAGAGGGAGTCGGTAGATAAATAGAGATAGATGGATAGACGGAGAGAGAGGGAGAGATAGATAGAGATAGATAGATGGACAGAGAGATAGACAGGTAGAGATAGACAGAGAGGAGAGGGATAATAAGAGGGAGAAAGAGACAGACACATGAGGGAGAAAGAAAGAAAGAGTTTCTTTTCTGGGAAAACATAAGGCGTTTTGTTAAGGTTTTGGTTTCCTTTCTCTTCTATAAACATTGTTGTTGCAATTTGCTTTTTTCAATAAATTTTGCTGTTCTCTTTTTGAATTTTTGCTTTCCCTGCATTCATATCATCAGTGGTTTGTGCGGTCAATAAAACACCTTTTAGTAGGTAGCACGCAAAAAGCTTAGAGGATGAGGACAAGTTTCATTTCGAACATGGAAGAACGGCGCATCTCACCTTCTCAGGACTAAAACCATTCACTTCAGCACCCCGAGAATTACATTATTGTGATTTTAAGATAATTTTCCCTTGAGACCATGGTTTGACTTTTACGAAAATAGAGAAGTAAACTTACGAGACACGCAGACGGTCGGCCTGGCTGCGGTGCAGGAGTCTCGAATTACTGCCGACCTTGATGGCAAATACACCTCGCAATCAGCTGACCCGTTCGTGCCGCTGGTGTAGAGGGGTATGGTGGTGACGTTGTTGTCTCTCAGCACCGGAGACGAATTCAGGAGCTGAGAGACGCAGCTGACCTGAGGCATGTCTGTTGACAACAGCCAACCATCATACTGTTGGCGACACGTCCGGTTAGCATCGTCAGCTGAGAACGAGATGCTGATATATGAAAATTTGTGCGATCCGCACACAATGGATGGTTCCCTAATAGCTACACGACAATACAACAGGAGAAAAAAATGCGTTCACTTCATGTTTCCGCACTTCCCCGTTACCCTTTGAAAGCCGCCCATACTGGAATGCGCATAAAAGAATGATTTCTTATGAGAGTGTCATCATACATGTGCCCAGTACAATTTAACACAGGTATGACTCACTCCGCTCTCTGGAGGTAGAAGTGAATTTCAGTGGCTATGTAGAAGCAGCTACCTAATGTAAAACACAATTTTGACTCGGCGCCCTCAAGAGTGAATGTACTGAAATTGATGTTTGGCCAATTTTCAAATTCCAACCTGTTATGATATTTCAAAAGAAGTTTCAGCACCTACACAATCCCAACAGTGAAGTAAAACCAATTTTGTAACCGGACATTTCTATTTGTTTTGTCATCATGGGTAGTAACTGTTACAGTAAATAGTGAACAAATGTCAAACACAGAAACTTATGAATAGGCGACCAGGAGAAAATACCTGCATTATAGCAATAAATAATATTGGTTAAGCGGACATTACGCAAGGAACAAAGAGTATACATGTATGGTGAATAAATTTCCTAATCGATTTTCTTGAGATTATCATCAGGGGAAAGTCGCCTCACAACAGAAGCTATACAGGGAAACAAACTAACTTATACGTCTACAGGATAGTGCGAAGTATAAAGGTGAGCTTCACTAATACTATTTATCGCTACAGCAACTTAAAGGGGACGTTAAGGCAATAATTAAAATTTCACCAGTTGTAGTCTTCGGGGTGCTGAGTCGAATGATCTTGGTCCGAAAAAGCTGAGATGCTCCCTTCCTACTTGAATCCCAATCGAACCCGCGCACTTCAACCGAAACTGGGTGACTGCGCCCTACTACAGTCCGTTTCAAAAAGATTTGCAATCCTGGCGATCGCCCGCGGAGTTTGGCGTCTTACCGTATGAGCACTCGAGCGCTGCCTGGAAATACTCACTGTGAACTCGAAGAAATATTCCGCGCGAAAGCAGGAAAAATGACAACTCACTCATGTTGATACAGTCATGTACGTCTGTCGTCTGGTTTACAACAAACGAGTTCTTCCTCGTATCGATAATGGAGTCAGAGAGGACATGTCGAAACGAAAGTGTTGTAAATGTTGACGAGCGCGGCATGGGTCCCAATTCGTTTTGTGACCAAAATAGTTTCTTTGAGCTGCGATACAATTTACTCACCGTGCGATGAAAAACGACATCGACACGGACTCATTCCCAAGGCCATGACTTGGCAAAGCTATCCGTGTGACTTCGACGACATTTTGAGAAAAGCAGACGCTTGTGAACGCTGATAGAAGACGGCGTTGACTGCTAAATTCAAACAAATTGGCGATCTTGAAATACTAGAATAAATCTCAAAAAGCTACAGCGCGATGACTTCCATATTCACTCACACCATTGCAGTGTTGTGGGTGTGTTTACATGGCGTGAGCCAGTCAAGTTTCAGTCAGTTCAGCAGGAAGCGCGAGCTCCAACAACAACAAGTCGTTTGGTGCAGCCATCTTCTTTGTCTCGTACCAGTTTGATCACCAAAACAATGAAGAAAAAAGTTTGACTTGAGGATAGGTTGGGATTTGAACTCACAACTTCATGGTCAGCAGACAGCATTCATAACCACAAGGGCAAAAAGGAAAGGATAAATCGTGGGTTTTGATAAAAAATCGATACTGGCTTCCTGGGCAAATTGTAAACCATGGGAAAAGGCCGGAAACCTGGCCGAAATTCTAACTCCTTAACGGCTGATCCAATTGTTCCGAAACCTTCACAGAACAATTTGCCGTGTCCTAACAAGCCATTCTATGTACTTTGTTGTCCAAATTTCCCTTATCTTCATACTTTGTAAGACCCAAACCTGATTGTAAATCTTTTTGAAACAGACTATAGATGGGGATTTGTATGCAAAATGTCACTAAAAGCGCCATTTCGTTCTTATAAAAGCACGGATAACCGCGATTGGCCCATATGTTGTAGTCTTTTGGACGCTGAGTCGACTGGTTTTGGTCCGAAAAGGCTGCAAAGCAGCGTTCCTCCTATATTTCCAATCGAACATGGTTGAACAAGTGGTCACGTGCTCCTGGGTGCCCAAATGACCTGGTCACCACGCCAGCAGGCGACAACTGTCACACCAAGGTTCAACTCGAGTGACAGGACTGCACCCAAAAAAGGTCAAACAGGCTAGTAAGTTGTACCCTGCAGGCACGGTGACAAGGTGACTGGCGTACGCAGGAGCACGTGACCGCTTCTTCAACCATGTTCGATTGGGAATAAAGGAGGAACGCTGCATCGCAGCCTTTTCGGACCAAAGCCAGTCGACTCAGCGTCCAAAAGACTAAAACATATGGGCCAATCGCGGTCATCCGTGCTTTTATAAGAACGAAATGGCGCTTTTAGTGACATTTTGCATACAAATCCCCATCTAGTAGGGCGCAGTCACCCAGTTTCGGTAGAAGTGCTCGAGTTCGATTGGGATTCAAGTAGGAAGGGAGCGTCTCAGCTTCCTCGGACCACGACCATTCGACTCAGCACCCCGAAGACTACAACTGGTGAAATTTTAATGTTTGCCTTAACTTCCCCTTTAAAGACCTCAAGCAAAAGAATACATCCTCTGTAATCTTCTGTAATGGTACAAAACCTAAAAAATATCTTACCATGATTGCGTCCGCAGATGACTCTACGGATGGATGAGCACGGTGCGTCCTCCGGCGGTAACTCGTCAGAGAGAAACGTGATGCTGCAATTGTCGGCAGGGTTCCTGAAGTCGACAATGGTGTCCGACAATTGCAGTTGGTTTCCAACATCACGGAAGTGAAGTCCATCCAGCAATCTGGTGTAGCTGGTATGGACTCCTTCAAGACCAAGAAACGACAGTAAACTTGACTTGCATGCCGTGATCTGGGGGAAGCTGGCGAGATGACTGCCTTGACTTTGGCAGAAATGCTCGCCAGCAACCCACGCGTCCTTGTTGTTGGTGACATAAACTTCATCACCGCCGTCTCCACAACGGAACCACGTGTTGACTGCAATAACACAGGGAGAAAAATGAATACTTGATATAAGGGAACACTGCTTGTCCATCTTTCCAGTATGTACGTTAACTACAGTGGGTGAACGCTAAGACAGTGAGTAAGCCAGTGCTCCGGTCCAGGTCATTCAGCCGGATTTCAATGTCCAGAACATCATAATCACGACACAACTTTCATTTTTCACTTTCCTTTGGGTTGGACAGTCAATTTTATCCACTTTTCTAAAGAAAATATTCGACGAGGAGACAACGATTTTAATATCGCAATAAGGACGACGAGATGAAGAGACATTAACTAAATACACGCTTTTTCTTCGAAGTTGCGACTTCCGCGGTATTGATCCTGGAGGCTCATTTATTCGCTCATGCATAACCTTCCTAGGGGCTCCCGTAAGAAGACCATAGGTCTGTGGAAAACACCCTAGTAAAATAAAAGTTAATAATAATAATAATAATAATAAGTTGGTTGTTCCAACTAGGAACACACGCTTTCTGCCAAACTTGACACTTGACTGACTCACGACTGTCATCCGGAGCACACAAGGAGCACGCCGCACCTTCCACTCCGCAAACCTTCAAGAAAGCACCACTCCCTGCTGAGCACATTCTCAATGGCGGAGTCAATGCATTTCTTCATTATTTGTTGTGTTCTTTTACTCTGTAAAGCATGCAGGAAATACTATAGCAGACATTGAAATCCGTGGAGAAGTCAAGCGGCCACTGGGCGATGGATGGCCTTGCACTCGCCAGCACAGCGGATAGCTGGAGAACCTTATTCACTGTGTACCTGAACTACAGTGCATGTACCCGCAATGAGCAGCAAGGGCACGGGCCCCCGGACAACCCTTTGGATTTAGATATCCACGACTGTAGAACAATGTGTAAAGTAAGGTTGTGTTTGGTTGGTCACATTCCACAATGGGAATCACGGGGAATCACTGGGAAGCATTCTTGCCCGTTTGTTTGGTCAAACCAATCCGTTAGGTTGGTCCCATTCCAGAATGGGAATCGCTGAGAATGATTCTTTTGAATAATGATCATTTCACCTCACATGCTGGAATGAGCATTCTCATTCCGGAATCAAAAATGATAATGGTCGCCACGAGCCAAACAATGTAGCGTCAGGTTCAAGTGCCTCAAATCATGCACTCAGACGTACCTTGACTCTCTCAAGGAAACTAGTGTTGGGTAAAAGAGAAGAGAGCCGCCGTTCCACAACAACACCATGGAATTGTTATGTCAAGTGATTCCTAATTGATTCTGGCGCGTTTGTTTGGTCAGGTGATTCTTACCCATTCCCATTCCAGAATGGCTGTCATCTACATTCTGAAAATGCCCAACCAAAAGCAACCTAAGACTCCTTCCTTTTGCGGAAATTTATTTTGGTTTAAAGGCACGAGGCTGACGGGTATTTTGAAGATTATTCCACTTGCCGTCAGGATACATATCATGTATACACACACAACAGAGGCGAAAGGCTGTGTTAGCTATCATGTATATGTAGGCACGCTGGAAAACGGATGTTTGAATGTAGGGCCATCTTACCTGATATATTTGTCCTATTTGAAGCCTGCCGTAACCATGACACCAAGTAACAGTGATGACCTGGCCGACTTCACCAGGAACAGCTAAGTGGTCAGGAAAAAAATCGTCGACTTGACGAATCTCCATCGTAGTTGACTACTACAACTTAGTACAAGACGTAGATTTACTAATCCAGCGCAGAATTCTGACTACTGGTAATAGTACTTGACACACAACTAACACACCGGGTTCTTCCACTTCACCACCGATGCACTGGCAATAGTACTACTAGTACTTAGCCGCCACCAGAAGAAGCTCGGTAACGGTGCCTGGGGCCAAAACAAGCTTGATTTGGGGACCTGATACAAAGTAGAAGCTGACACAGACTCTGTGACCGTTTTCGATTCTTTGCTGACTCACAAACTCAAACTCAAAGTCAAAGTCAAAAAAAGCCAGAGCGAAGCCACCGCTGCATAATTGTTTCCATGACAATAAAAATGGCAACCATCGGTTCGTTTCCATGCCAATGGCAACCACTCTTCACACACAGCGCAGTTGTCTCGGTGAACAAGACTAGATGGAGTGAAGCCTTTTGAAAAGTGAAGTACGTCATCTACATCTAAAGTTTTCTTGTACTGCGCGAGTCTTTGTTCGGTGGAGGTGTTGTTGCCCGTTATCGCTGAGCCTACTTGTACAAGCGCTCACCGGAAAGAGGATGATAATAAGATATACAATTCTGCCATCGAGGAGGAGCGTGCGGCGCTTGATGTGCGGTTGCCGGTTTGTGGGGCAGAAGGTTTGAGCGTGATTTACCGTGATTTACACAAAGGTTTTTAATCCTTCCGCACGCACGCACGCTCCAACCGATCTGCAACACGCACCACGATCGAACGGCGTCAGGAGATAGAAAGGAGCAGGTGCTTTAATGAGAGGGAGAGAGAGAGAGAGAGTGAGAACGGTGGAGCGTTAGACGTTCGTGCAGGCTGTGCTGCCGGCGAGCGGTGGCATGGGAGGAGCAGCTGCGGCACTGTATCACTGAATCGCGTCTGTCGAGAGCTTGTGAGAGGAGAATGGAACAGTACTACCAGATGATAATCATAAATACGATGTCGTGTAGTGTGTCATTTGCTCTGTTGCCCTGATGATTGTATGAGGTGTTCGCGGGGCTCATGGGGTCTTTTCGAGAGCGATGGGTTCGGCATCCGCAGTCTGCTGAGCTGGTTGTTGCCAAGTTTATGTCGTACCTTTCTCTCTGATTGTTAATTCGTTCGAACTTGACTTGTACTGACCGGTAGTCCGGTACATATACTTCCTATTGACTGTTTTCTCATTTTCTCAAGTACAGCTTTATCGAGCCACACTTTTTATTCTATCGCCATCATAATACTGCGCATCAATGCCCGTTTGGTTTGCGATGTAAAATAAAACTTCAAACCAAAAAACCTGAAGTATTTAGTCAAACTTACATACCTGCACCACAGGAACGTCACTAGTTTCAGGAAAAAATTATTTTTGCTCCTGAAGCGAAGGGAGATGAGTATTTCAGAAGTACAAATTGTACTTTCAAGGCACGTTCCTAAACACCTGGAGGCTGTGCTTGCACCTCCAACCAAGACATTTTTAAATTTTGTATTACCCTTAAAACAATGTTTGCATCAGTTGTAGTCGTCGGTGTGCTGAGTCGAATGGTCTTGGTCCGAGGAAGCTGAGATGCTCGCTTCCTCCTTTATCCCCAAATGAACTCGGGCACTTCCACCGAAACTGGGTGACTGCGCCCTACTAGATGGGGATTTGTATCCAAAATGTCACTAATATCGCCGTTTCCTTCTAATAAAAGAAATGCATGATCGCGATTAGGCTATATGTGGTAGAATTTTGGACGCTCAGTCGCCTGGTGTTGGTCCGAAAAGGTTGCGATGCAGCGTTCGGTCCTTATTCTCAATCGAACCCTGTTGAATAAGCGATCACGTGCTTGTTGGGTGTACACCAGTTGCTTGGTCACCATGCTTGGCCCTGCAGGCTACAACTTTCACATCAACTCGAAGGTTGAAAGGTTCAACTCGAGTTACAGCAACGTTGTAGGGTGTACTTCCCTTTTAACAATAGCTCTCTCTCTCTCTATCTCTATCTCTCTCTCTCTCTATCATACATGTACATATATCTCTCACTTGCCAGTGGGTTTCCTACTGAGATAAGGAATGACAATCCTTTCAACTACGCACAAAAAATACTGCAAGAACACTTCAAGTGCACGTGACAAACACGCAGCACTACCTCCCCTTGGTCTGTAATAGATTGAACCTAAGCTATATGTACGTATATCACAGCTAGTACTAGTACTAGTAGCCTACAACACAATACTTAGTGACAAGTGAGTCCAGTGACCTCTTCGCATGTCTACCTCCCTCGCCCCCTCGTCTACGCACAAACAAATTAAACGCATAACCACTATGATCCATAATGGCACGACATCAAGATGCTAGTACCCAACAGAACTTCAACAAATCAAATTCCAGCTACCATTAGTACTTGTAAGAAAAGTAAATCGCAACTAACTGCGAAGTAGAAATTTCGTGAGCACTGTCTGTGCTGGTGCACTGCTCACGACCCTAGTGGCATTTCAGACACGCATGGGCACCCCTATGCACGCAGGCATGCGCACAATCCTGACTTACGGCCTTGTCCACGGCTCTCAGCGGCGAAAAGAAGGACAAAGGTGAACGGCAGTGCAAGCAGCACGGGCACAAAAACCAATCTAGCCTGTGCCAAAACAAACACAGGAAACTATCAATGATGTTTGCTTTCACGATCATCCGTCACACACAAACCTTCAAACGATCTGTGCATTCCTCCGGGAAACAGTCCTAGTGTCTGTGTAGGTTGATTCACGATGACACCTTGACCTTCTTTTGTCAAAGCTCAGCCGATAGTCATACACGTATGTGTGTTCCAGAGTAGTTTTAGTTTTCGTTCAACAACGATCATCCCATCTTGCCAACCACTGCCACAACCATCCCCACCACTTCTCGCACATATTCGGGAATATAGTGGACTTTCGTATAAAACTTTTTTTTTTAATCAAGTATAGACTGTATGCGTACCGTATAGTGTAGTGTTGCACAGCACGCTATGATCGAGTCACGCATCTACAACTGTTACCACCACCCACCCACATTTTGCTAGTTCAGCATGAACAGATT